CCTTCGTGCTGCGCGATTGCCTTATGTTGCTCGACCGATGACCAGCCGCAGTACATGACGAACTCCTCCGTGCCGTCCACAGCCCGCTCGATTCGCCAACCGCCGCGCACGGGGTACGGCTTCGAGGCATCCTCAACCACCCACTTCGCTTCGGCGTACTTCTTGACGAACTCCTCCTTGCGCTCAGGCCGCACGCCGAAGCGCCCAACGCTGACCACCGGCGCCGTCAACAAGTTAGGCGGCTCGTCTTCGGCCTTCTTCTTGCCCTCTGCCTTGTTTTCTGCAGCTGCCGGCGCTTCCGGCTCCTTGTCCTTCGATTCCGCTTCATCACCCCCCGTCTTTGCTTCGCCATCCGCCGTTGCTGCCGGCGTGCTCTGCCCCGGGACGAATATGGGCGTATCGATGTGGAAGAATAGCACTGCCCGCGGACCCTCGCGGTGGATGAGCGGCGTCAGCTTGCCCATGACGTTTTGGTTTTCTGGCGAGACGATCCACTCGTGGTGCGCCTCAGGAGAATCCCATTGTGCGGCCAGCAGCAGTACGCTCGGGTCCTCGACCTGCTGGAGGATGGCGGTGCCGCGTTCCACACGCTTCGGCGGCAGACCGGGCTTCTGGCGGAGAACCCAGGTGTCCTGGACCGTCTGGCAGTAGTCGAGGAGCTCCTTGGTCTCCTCGTTCGGGAGCTCCTTGAATTGGAGGAGTGCGAGCTCTGTGACGGCCATCTTGGCAGAATGTTTCGTCGGATGGGTGGGGTGGCAGGCGATCGAGAATTTGCAGGAATTGGTGTCTTTCGAGCTGCGAATCTGAGGAATAGGAGAGCGTTATCTGGGGCTCTAGGCGGGGGCTTAGGATGGTGAGCTTGCTTTCGCTCGCGCGCGGGGTTCGGTGCGGGCCGGGAATACTGGGGTGTGAGCTTGAGTCCGGTTGGCTGGTGACTGGGATCGCTCGTCTACGATCTGAACTTGGGGCAGAGAGAATGGCGGCGCTCAGCTGGAGTTTGGATTCTCCTTTATTGACTGGAAGCTTGAAGTCGGATATTCCGAGGGATTCCGGTTGCAAGTTCATAGATCCAGCTCAGCGGGGCAGTAAGGCTGCGGTCTCGACGTCGTTGGGCCAGAGGTCTGGGTGTGACGTTGACCACAAACAAGCGCTGCGGCACAGACCGAGCCCAAGGTGAAGTACCCAATGTAGGGCGGTGCTAATAAGCTCTATTGTCTGACAGCCCAGACTTTGAGTCGCATTGTGCCTGCCTCCCCCCTCTGAAGAAGACACCAGCCAAAGCTCAGGAAGACTTGGATGGACTCGGATAGTGGCTGCAACCGGTCGACCCCGCACCGCTTTGCAGTGTCCCTGATTTGCTGCCTCGTTTTTATCGATAAACTTCTGTCCAGCCTGCGAGACATAACTAGGTTCAGCTCGACCGCCCGTCAACCGTCGGCATGTTTTGATTACCCACGATGGACGGAGATGAAAGCCGTCTGGCGCTAAGCCGCAACGCCGTCGTGTTCGGGCGCCACAGGTACAGGAGCAGAGGGGCTTGTGGGTAAGGCGACATTCATGATGCTCGGGGCCTTCCTTCATGTTCTCCTGCTGGATGCCGCTGGGTCATATGTTCAGTCCACAACCGAAATCGCCCAGTTTCGAAGGCCGGTTACATTGAGATTTGATTGCCCTCAAAAGCGAACATTTGGAGGATGGATGTAACCTTGACTAAGAGACCCGTCGGTTTGGAACTCGGGGTTGAGGTTGGGGTAGCTTCCCCGATGACTGGTTCCAAAGTGTCGTTCGCAGTCTGCACACATCGGCGACGCTGGACGGTTACTTCAAACTTCGCTGCCCCTGCCAAGTGTTTGCTTGGTCCCGATGATCAACGACAAGTCGTCGGCCCAGACGATAAGGAGAAGAGTGCGGATGGTTTGACCCGCTATGCGCTGGGCCACCTGCGCCTCACTCGCCGAGCTGAGGGGATTTGGGAGCAACATGCTATCGATAAGGCAATCTCCGTAGGCTCCGCGCTGTAGGGCAGGGGGATAAGCCGCCTGGGGCATAAGCCGCCTGCAGATGAGTTCCTCACCATCCCAGCGGGTGGTTCCCGGCGCTCGAGTGCATAGCTGTGTCTCCACGAGCAACTTGGGGCTCATGAAACCAAACGAGTCCTTCGGTGTGAACAGTCGGAGATAGTACGCAGTAGAAAACGGTTCTGTTCTCTTTCCGAGACACGGAGCTGCCAAATGAGATTACGGAATTCTTCTAGTCGAGTCTTGACTCGAGAGACAAGTTGGAGACATTCAGGGCTCATGTGACGACGTGGTATTAGTTAGGCGGCCATTGCTCTGGGAACCTGGCCGCTTCACCGCCACGAACTGACAAGAGTCAGGAGTGCAGCCTGGAACCCAACCGCGAGAGAGAATTCGTGGTGCCAGGTGCTATCAGCGGCGGAGGTGCAGCCGCTTTGCTCGGTGTCTGCATGCTGAGTCCGCTGTCGGGGGCGGGAGCAGGCAGCTATCGCATCGGACTGCCCAATACTTGACCAGCAAACCGCCAGACGGAACCAGGCGACCCAACTTACCAGGTGGGTAGCAGTTGGGGGCACACAGCGAGCCAGTAACACACAGCCCTTCCCGTTTTGAGGCTCAGACGAAACGACGCTCGGTCGCACCGATGGCGAAATGTCGTTGATGATCGAAAGTCATGATCGGACGGATGTGTCAGGTTGCTGGCGTGCGCAGCGCAAGGTATCTAGACTGCTGGGTACTCGTGCCGTAGCTCATCGTACTGCGAAAGCACGGAGCTCTGCCGTAGAGCAGCTTTCCAGCCGAGGTTTGGTAGCCGCTTTGTCCTTTCACTGTGTTGGTTGGCTGAAGCTTCCCTCGCCCATTGGTCGTCGCGACTCGCTTTTCGATGAAGCAAACAATTGGACCATGTTTGCTGTGGGTTGGGCGGCTGAAGCGGTAGCAGAAAGCCGGTCAGCATCTTATCGTCGAAGTAATCTCGTGGGAGTGCTGAAGGCCAGAAGAGCCAGTAAGGTGTGTTCTGGGGCAACGGGCTTGGCGGACGAAGGAAGTGATGGTTGAGCTTGTCAGCTTGACAGCTTGTCAAGTCATTGCCGGCGGATGGCGTTAACGGCGTGGTCGGTGGCTTTCGTCCATCCCAAGCTTACTGCATAGCAATCAACAGCCGCTCATAATGGGAAAAGGTTCCATGCCGTCGAAAACCTAACAAATCACTAATGTCGTCTTTGGAACTTTCGATGTTCGCTTCTCGAAGCTGCGTGTTGGGTTAGCTACCAGTGCCCAAGTAGAGGTAGAGTCCGAGGTGAGGAAGCTACACAAGTGCCTGTCTCTTCCCAGTAAGGCGCACAATACGCAACACAGCTCGACAGGGAGTGAGGGAGAACAACACCGCCCGGGCGGCCACCCTTTTCACCTGCAGATACCCCTGCTGCCGCAGGTCGGTGCTTGCCGGGAAACACCCGCCAGACCGGGAATGTCTCCCAGGGGAAACATGCAGGGCCAATGGTAAGGCGCAGAGGGCCGGCCGCCTGGGAGCCTAGCTGCAGTCATGGAGGGTACCTGCAAGTTGAACGCGTTATGAGGCGGTACCTGGAGGAACAACGTGAAGTAGCAAACAGGACCTGCTGTTGGTTGTTGGTTGGGGCAACAGCATGTACCTTTAGGTAAGAAGACAGATAGTAAGATGATTGTAAGATGACAGGCACATCTCTTTCTCACTTCACACATCACGCGGCCGCCAGAAAATATGCAGTGCCTGGGGCTCAGATATCAGTTCTGCGTAATGCAGCCTGTCTTCCATCACCGAAAAAAAGAACTTTTTTTGGTATTGCGCAGTATCCCCGAATAGAACCAACTGCTCCCCCTTTTGGGGTCTGGAGTGCGACCAGTTTCGTCCTAACTTTTCCCCCGTCCATCGAAAACGAAAAGCCTCCACCGGAGCTTCCATTGCATTGCTCCCAAAACCTCCCGGCGGTGGACTTGAACAACGGAATTCCTCCCCCAGACTTGAACCCCGGAGCTCCCTCTGCTCATCTAAATCAAGTCTCACTTGCGACACGTTTTATTCCCACATTACAAAGAACGGCTAGAACCCGCAAAAACCCAAGACCTCTTACCCTCATTTACCGTCGTTGTGTCTTGGACAAACACGCCTCCAACCGCCCCAACCCTTCCCCTCCTCCACTACATCACGCCCAGCTTGTGCTTGTCATTGACCCGATTCCTTTTTCCCGTATCCGTAAGTACCTCTACCCTCTCTCTGAGTTGCTTTCCCCATGTTTCCTGTCTGATAAGGGGGGCTCCATCCTCCATCTCCAGGCCCAGGACCACCACCACGTTGTCCAATTTGTCCGGCCACCCCCCGGAACCTGGGAAAGCTAAATTGGCTAACTGAATCGAGTGTCCCGTCCCTCCTGTCCTGCTCCTCCTCTAATAAAAGTGCTTGTATTACTGTATTACACACTTGCCAAATTACGCCTTTAAGTGCTGCTGCCACCGCTACCACCGCCTGGCGCGCCGCCATCGTCACCCGTCACCCGTCACCGCACCTGCACCCTCCTCTCCTTCCCAACACTTTTTCTCCGTAGACTTTTCGGCACGTCCACTTCCACTTCTGAGCTGGCACAACCACACGACTCGCCGACTCGCTCCATCACGACCCATTCTGCGCCTTCCATTCGCTCCGCTATTAGTGCCACTCACCAATTGACCCCTCTTTACACCAAAGAAACGGACGACCGCGCCCAAGGACCCTGAGCCGCGATACTATGCTTGGCCGATAACACGCCTCCTACACGACTTCACGACAACAACGGATCCTCCCCAGCAGCACGCAAATAATCTTGCTGTTGCAGCTTCAACACACGCAACCCGCTCATGGCTATCTTTGCTCCAGAGATGCGAAACCCCCTGGATGCTGTCGCCGTCAACGGTGTACCGACAACCTCTTTTGTAAACGGAAACGGCAACTTATCCCATCGCCTCAAAATGGATCGCAAACAATCAAGTCCCATGATGCCCGCCTTCATGGTCTCAGCGCCTGGCAAGGTCATTGTTTTTGGTGAGCACGCTGTCGTTCACGGCAAGGTCAGTTGCGAAACCCCCCCTTTTCCTAATTTCTGGCGCATTCACTGACATACAAGAAACCAACAGGCCGCAATCGCCGCAGCTATCTCCCTACGATCGTATCTCCTTGTCACATCGCTATCTAAATCCAGGAGAACTGTCTCCTTGCGCTTCCCAGACATCGACTTGCACCACACGTGGAACATTGACGACCTCCCGTGGGCGGCGTTCCAGCACCCCTCCAAGAAGAAGTCGTACTATGACTTGGTTACGGAGCTCGATCAAGACCTTGTCGCAGCCATTCAGCCACATCTGAACGAGGTCTCACCACACAAGCCCGACGATGTGCGGAAAGTGCATCAAAACTCGGCCTCCGCGTTCCTCTACATCTTCCTGGCTCTCGGCGACCGATCGTTTACAGGCTGCTTGTATACTCTGAGATCAACAATTCCCATCGGCGCAGGCTTGGGTAGCAGCGCTTCCATTGCGGTGTGCCTGGCGGCCGCTCTTCTCTTGCAATTGCGTACCTTGTCGGGCCCACATCCCGACCAACCTCCTGATGAGGCTAGGTTGCAAGTGGAGAGAATCAACAGATGGGCTTTCGTGTGCGAGATGTGCATACACGGAAACCCCTCAGGCGTGGACAATACTGTTGCGACCCAAGGCAAGGCCGTGGTCTTCCAGCGCACAGATTACAACAAGCCTCCAGCAGTGCGCCCACTGTGGGATTTCCCTGAGCTACCGCTTCTGTTGGTCGATACCAAGCAGGCTAAGTCAACTGCTTTTGAGGTCGCCAAGGTCGCCAAGTTGAAGAGCGGCCACCCGAAATTGGTCGGAAGCATTTTGGACGCCATCGATAAGGTGACGAATACGGCAGACGGCCTTATCGGCGATGAGAAGTTCGACAACAAGAGTGAGGAAAGCTTGCAACAGGTCGGAGAACTCATGACCATCAATCATGGACTTCTCGTCTCTTTGGGCGTATCACACCCTCGCCTCGAGCGGATAAGAGAGCTTGTCGACCACGAAGGCATTGGCTGGACGAAGTTGACTGGTGCTGGCGGTGGCGGTTGCTCTATCACATTGCTGAAGCCCGATGTGCCGAAGGACAAGCTCGTGCGGCTTGAGACTCAACTCGAGGACGAAGGCTACGAAAAGTTTGAGACAACTCTCGGCGGCGATGGCGTTGGCGTGCTCTGGCCTGCTGTTCTCAAGAACGGGGTGGAAGACAACGAAGGTGGTATGGAGATCGACCTGGACAGCTTCTTGAATGCCGATGGTAACGAGGGCGTTGAGAAGCTGGTAGGCGTCCACGGTGGTGCAGGTGAGAGGGAGGGCTGGAAGTTCTGGAGGGTCGAGAGTCGGTAAAGAACACGGCGACTCACTCTCTTCAATCTGCTTCTACACTTTCACGGCTTTGCCAGGGCGCAGAATCGGGAAAAGTTTTTGATACTACAGCTTATTCGCTGTACGACATGATAATGGCGCAGGAGACGGGAATATGAGAGGGGGCTTTATGTATCAGATATAATCGGCGTGCAAATTTTAGAAGCCCACCTTGCGGTACTAAATTCCTTTTAATTTTATTATTCCGAAGCTGCAAACGGAAATTCTGTGTCAACATTGCTGTCGTGCCTGATGTCGTGCAACAGAGCTATCCATGGTGGCTTCGTTAGATCAAAGGGTCTCAGGTGGGCGTTCCCGTGGTGGGGTAGGAGCCATGGGCGAACATTTTCCATGTCCGGGACATACTTCGCCGCCAGCTCAACCCCGCCATAGACCAAGCCAGCCGCAGACATGCCCGCCAAATCCAAGGCCAGCTCCAAAGCCAAGGACGCTGAGAACAAAAGTACGTTGAACTGATTTTCATCCCTCTACGTTGCTGTCAAGGCCGCACAGCTCCTGTGTGGCCTAATGCATCAATCCCATTCGATGGCGTTCTCCAAAGCTGACTGTCTCCCCTCCATCATAGGCAAACAACAAGCGCAAGCTGCGGCTGAAACCCAACAACCCCCGAAGACGATCAACGAGCGGTCTTTCCAGCGCTACCACCAGACGAATCCGCACGAGCGACGACGTGAGGAAGCCGGAGGTCTGCACGCCCTCTCGCCCGCGGAGCGACAGTCCTGGGTCAACGCGAGCCTGGTGCGCCGTGTAGCCAACAGAGAGTTCTTCCTCACCAACAAGGCAGAGCGCGAGTTCTGGAAGCAGATCAGCAGGGAATCGCCGCCGATCCGCCGACTCGAGAAGCCGAGAAGCGCCGAGCAGAAGGTCGTCTACGACTGGGGCAAGGACAAGAACGGGCGCGACCTGGGCGACTACCCGATCGACCAATTCACCGTTCGGGCCGCGAAACAGGCGCAGCTTACGGCGCTCGAAGTGTTGCACCGCAGGTTCCTTCAGCGGAGAGAGTTTGCGCGAGACGGCGTTCCGGACGCGGCCGAGGGCAAGGTCACAGAGATCACGCAGGAGGACATTGACGAAGAGAGGAAGAGACGACGGGAGATGGCGGCGCTTAGGAAGGAGCTCTACGGAGAGAAGATGGGTCCGTACGCGACCGACCCGGAGTGGGACGATGTCGTGCCCATCCCCGCCGAGGAGCCCGAAGGCGCGCTGGCTACGATTGCTTACCCCGAGGACTATGCTGAGGGTAAATAATTCACTTCTTCTTTTTGTGTCTTGCACCGATGTGTGTGTTCTGTTTCGGAAAACGGTGGCCTCGGGGATTCTGCTCATCTATCATGTCCCACTGACTTTGTGCGTGTTCTTTCCAGTCATGAGCTACCTGCGCGCCGTCATGGTCGCCGAAGAGTACAGCCCGCGGTGCTTGCGGTTGACGGACCACGTTATCTCCATGAACCCGGCACACTACACTGTATGGCTGTACCGGTTCAAGATCGTCGAGGCGCTCGACATTTCCGTCATCGATGAAATCGAGTGGCTCAACGAGGTGTCGCTCGAGCACATCAAGAACTACCAGATTTGGCACCACCGCCAGCTGCTGCTTGACCACCACTACAACCACATCAAGGCCAGCCCGGACGAGGTGAAGCGCTTCGGAAGGTCCGAAACGGAGTTCCTCACGCGCATGCTTGACGAGGATACCAAGAACTACCACGTGTGGAGCTACAGGCAGTACCTGGTGCGCAAGCTGGGGCTGTGGAACCTGCAGGAGCTGCTGTCGACGCAGAATTGGATCGAGGAGGACGTGAGGAACAACTCGGCCTGGTCGCACCGGTTCTTCCTCGTGTTTTCGGACCCGGCCGCTTCGACGGAGGGCTCGCACGCGACGGAGCACGATCCGAAGGTCCCCGCAGACATTGTGGACCGGGAGGTCAAGTACGTCGAAGAGAAGGCGCTGTTGGCACCGCAGAACCAGGCTGCGTGGAACTACCTTAGGGGTGTGCTGGTAAAGGGCGGACGAAAACTGGAGACTGCAGAGGCGTTCGCGGCGCAGTTTGTCAACGGCATTGGAGAGGGTGAGGACAAGGAGGAGGTGCGCAGTACGCATGCGCTCGACTTCCTGGCCGACGTGTACGCGGATAAGGGCATGAAGGAGGAGGCGGGCAAGTACCTCGACCGACTGGCGGAGAAGTGGGATCCCGTGAGGGCGGGATACTGGAAGTACAGGAAGCAGCAGCTTGCATAGGTAGCGTGTTTGTGTGATAATTGATGTGTTATTGAGCTATCTTGTCCGAGACACACGCTTATGGGATGTTCTTAAAAGACGGTCATCCACGCTTTCATGCTGCCGAAAAGTGACAGGGGTCTACCATGGCTCCCATTTTTGTCCATAATCCAATTCTGTTGCCAAGTTAGTAAGCTCTCTAGCAACCGGTATGTCACTACCCGTACCTATCTCATTACGAATTGTGAAGCAATCCGGTCGTCTCGACATGTCTTCATTCTGGGGTATATCCTCCGCCCGCCAATCCACCCACAACCTTACAGCGCGCGAAAGTTCTGGCTCATAATCAACCATCGCCTGACGCCGCGCGGGGGGTTCTTGCCAAAGGTGTCCCAGTTCGGCACCAGCACGAAGACCTCGTTAAACGTCTTGGCGGCGGCGTCGCGGCCCTTGCCGTAGTAGACGCGGCCGGTGACCTGGGCCATGACGCTGCACTTTGCGCCGTTCTTGTCGCCGCCCTGGAGGTGCTCGGGGCAGCCGAGGGAGAAGTCCGCGTTGACAACGTGGGCGTCGAGGGACTCGATCTCGTAGCGGACGTCGGGGCCCTGGGTGTCGAGGAGGGTGGTGTACTCGTCAGGCCCGCTGGCGAGGACGGCGCCGTTGACGGAGATGTCGGGCGGCGTAGGGTACTTTGAGCAGGCTGTCGTGTAGAACTGCGACATTGTGCCTTTGAGCTTGCGGCGGTTGAGGGCGTCGTAGTAGGCATCTGCGAAGTTTGAGGCCGCTGGGGGAGGGCGCCTGCGTCAGTTTGGTGCTGGTGGTGGTGGGCTGGATGGTTGCGCACCGTCTGAGGAGGCCCTCATTTCCGTTTCGCGAGATGGGAGAGACATCTTATTGTCCTGTCTTCGACAATGTTTTGTGGAATAGGACGTGGAGCTTTTTCGAATGCGCAGCGTTGTTGTTTACTCGAGGTTGTCGCAAAGTTGTCGAGGTGAAGGGGACTCGGTCAGAATTACGGCGGGGTGCAGGGATCTTTCACCGATAAGAGCTCTCTACCGTTATCGCCCGACTCAATTGGTACGGTGCCCTCAGAAAGTCAGAACATTTCGAGAAGCAGACCCTTCGATTCACGATCTACCTGCATGCTCGACGGCGACATGCTTTCCCAAAGGTAGCTTTTTGACGAACGCAGTCGAAATGAGACAATTAAGACTACCTCCAGCTTCGGCCTTTCGCACTCGCCGCTATGAACCAGCGCTGCGACCGGCCTGGGTCTGCCCCTCGTGCAGCTATGGGCCGACATTGCGACGGTTCGCGAGCTCTGACAGCAAGAGCGAAAAGCCGTATTATGTGACGACGCCCATTTTCTACGTCAATGCATGTATGTGAAGATGTTCCGACGCAATCACGGAGACCTGCGAGCTAATGAGGACATGTACAGCCCCGCACGTCGGCCACATGTACTCGATGCTCCTCGCCGACGTCCTGAAGCGCTGGCAGGTCCTCAAGGGCAGGCCCGCGATCCTGTGCACCGGCACCGACGAACACGGGTCCAAAGTCCAGCAGGCGGCCGCCAAACAGGGCGTTGCCCCCAAAGAGTTCTGCGACTCGACGGCCGAGAAGTTCCGCGACCTGGCGCAGGTGATTGGCATGGACAATGACTACTTCATTCGCACCACCGACCCGGACCATATGGAGGCTGTGCAGCATTTCTGGTTCCTGCTGAAGGAGAAGGGATATATCTACGAGAGCAAGCATGAGGGGTGGTATTGTGTGAGCGACGAGTGCTTCTACGCCGCGAATGAGGTCGAGAGGACGTTGGTGCCGTCGACGGGACGGACGGTGATGGCGTCGACCGAGACGGGCAACGAGGTCGAGTGGGTCGAGGAGAAGAACTACCACTTCCGGATGACGGCGCTCAAGGACCGCTTGCTGAAGTTCTACGAGGAGAATCCGGACTGGATCGTACCACGGGCAAGGCAGAAGGAAGTTATCGCTTGGGTACAAAACAACCTTGAGGATCTATCGATATCAAGACCCGTACAGAGGTTGGACTGGGGCATTCGCGTACCGGACGATCCCTCGCAGACGATTTACGTCTGGGTAGACGCGCTCATCAACTACCTCACGAAAGCCGGATTCCCGACATGGCAGCCTGGGAAAGAGCACGAGGGAGGCTGGCCGGCGGACGTGCACGTCATCGGAAAGGATATCGTGCGGTTCCACGGAATCTACTGGCCCGCGCTGCTGATGGCGCTGGATCTCCCACTGCCGAAGCAGTTGCTAAGCCATGCGCATTGGACGTTGGGGAAGAAGAAGATGTCCAAGTCGTTGGGAAACGTCGTTAACCCGTTCTTTGCCGTCGACCGATGGGGGTTGGATACGATGCGGTACTTCATGATGCGCGACGGCGGCATTGAGCAGGATGCTGACTACGAGAACTCGTTGGTCGTGGCGCGGTATCAAAAGGATCTTCAATCGACCGTGGGCAACTTGATGAACAGGGTTGCCAAGAGCAAAACGTGGAAGCTCAGGGACTCCGTCGTGTGGGCAGAAGAGAATAGCGCCTCTCTGTTGAGCTCTGTCGTGTGGTCGGAAGAGAATAGCACCACTCTGTTGAGCAGTGAGAAGCTGAAAGCAAGTATCAACAGCATGGCGTCTGACATGTCAAAGAGCATGGATGAGTTGAATCCCAATGCTGCCATCCGTGGTGTGCTGGATGTTCTCGCCGACGTAAGCGCGCTTCCCTGGAGATGATTTGCGGACAATATGTTAACAAGGCTCCTAGGCGAACAAGTACATTTCCCACCTGGCACCGTGGAAGCTGGTCAAGTCGAAGGATCCCAAAGACCAAGCCACGCTCCACGAGTGCATCTTCTACACCGCGGAGGCTTCGCGTGTGGCGGGCATTCTGCTCCAGCCTGTCATGCCGACCAAGATGGGACTTCTGCTGGATACCATGGGTGTTGACGCCGGCAAGCGGCGCTTCCAGGATGCGACTTTTGGCGCAGACTTGACATATGGTGTCCCGGTGATCGATCCAGGCAAGGAAGGAAAGTGGAACGCTTTATTCCCTCCGCAGGCCGCTGAGGAATGAGCCTAGGCGTTTCCAGTTCCTCTACGAATTGAATGTAAATGTAAAATCTCCCCATCACTGGTGGAAATGTAAGATGTTGTAATTATATGATGATGAACGATGGAGAAGGTCTCCAGGTCAGCCGGGCGTAAAGCGTGACTGCTCTTAAAAACTAGGCCGTCTCTTCTTCCCAACTTGATTTGTTGAAATCAGCGGGTGGTAATTAAGTCAGCCAGTATATAATGAGACGTTTTCTTGCACAGAAATAACAGGATATCTCGAGATAGGGTAGGTATTAATTCGTTGTAAGTAGATGCGATGAGGGCATGCGCTCGGTCCTGAACAGTACGCACACCCACCACCTGCTGCACACAGCAGCAAGGCCAGCAAAAGCAGCACCGGTCTAAAAAGAATGTGCCACTCGGATTCATCTAGAAAATCAAAAGAGAGTCGTCAAGGACAGGATTCGAACCTGCGCGACCGAAGCCACTGCCTGAACAGCGATCATCCTAGGGACAATAGCAGGGCAGCCCATTAACCACTCTGGCACCTTGACTGTTGGTGGAAGAGGGCTCTCGGAATGTCCAATAAGTACCCCGCAGTTTCTGTCCACATCAGCAAGCGACATTAGTGGACCACCCACTCGACCACCCGCCCAAGCCCAAGCTCACCAAGCTCGGGGCACTAACTCCGCCTCAGCCAAAAACTCGGCTCGCAACTTACACCACCGAGTGACTCAACCGGCCATTCTCAAAAGCGCAAAAAGGAAACACGTCAAGGACAGGATTCGAACCTGCGCGACCGAAGCCACTGCCTGGCAGCTAGGTTGTCTCGGTAAATCGAGGCATTCCGTAGCAGGGCAGCCCATTAACCACTCTGGCACCTTGACACTTGTTCTTGTTGAGGACTTCCAGGGGTTCGGAGGGTTCATACCTCGCGGCCATCGTGCGTCTGCTTCCGCGGACGGGGTCGTTTGTTTGCCCCTTTCGGACAGCGGCAGAACGCAGACGTGGAGCGCAGGGCGGGGACGCTGGCCAGCTCACCGGCTTCGCTCGCATTTTTAGTTTTTGTGACGAGGGTGCAAGTGGGGGATCTGGTGCCTGAGACGGACACCCTTGGCATACTTCGCGATGAGATTGAATGAGAATACAGGCATGTACTTTGAGGACACTATCCGAATTGGTTGAGGCTGGTCGTTTGGATGTGAGGAACTTACAAGACCACAGCGATCGCGACGCCGGCGGTGACGCTTGTACCGTACGAAGCGAGACATGTGGAGCGTTATCATGAGTGGATGAGTGATCCGGTCAGCAAAACGCCGCACCAAAGTACCCGCCGATTCGTCCAAGCACATGCTTATTTTTGTGACAGGATATCCAAGAAGCGACGGCTTCTGAGCCATTGACGCTGGAGGAGGAATACGAGAACCAGCAATCGTGGCGGACGTCCCATGACAAGCTCACCTTCATCGTCTGCCAACCCCTGGATGCGGCCTCTGATGCGGCCAGCGTAAAGGCTGGTGAGGTCGATGCGGCGGCACGCATGATTGGCGACATCAACTTTTTCGTCTATCCCCACGACGAAGAGGAAGAGGGTGAGGGGGCCTATGTCGGTGAAGTGGACGTTATGGTGGCGGCGAAGGAGCACCGCGGCAAGGGTGTAGGTTACGCTGCTGTCACGACGTTGCTGGTGTATGTTCACCGCAACCAAGAGCGCATACTGAAGGAGTATGTTGAGGGCGAAGGCAAGAGTGGAAAGGCTGAGTTGAAGGGGTTGATGGTCAAGATCAAGGAGGGGAACGCGGCGAGTATATCACTATTCAAGAGGGTTGGCTTCATGCAAAAAGGAGAAATCAATTATTTTGGGGAGGTCACGATGGTGCTAAGCGACCTGGGTCACTTTGTGGCATCTCCTGCTGGTCTGAAGGCAGCAGAGGAATCGCGAGAAGTGGCCTATGCAAGATAGACGAAGCAAAGATAGAAAACACAGGGAGATACATAGAACGGCAAAGCCACCGTCTCATACTGGTTATCAGCTTCTATTTCATGTCTTGGCAGTGTATATCTAATTTTATCGTCTAAAAAGAGACCATCGTCTTCTGTCTCATGCGCTTTCAAATGCGTCGCCGAACTTTTCACGGTACCCATTCAACATCTCAAGTGTGATGTTCGCACCGCCACAGACAATGAGCACAACGTTTTGCTTCGCCCATTCCTCATCCGACATCCCCGGGCCCAGCTGCTTCCTCAACATGCCGTTATAGACAGAAGCTATCGTCGCGCCGCAAGCAACCTCAACCACAAGCTGCGCATCGTCGACGAAGCGCACGGTTGCCATGGCTGCCTCCGCATCACTGACCGTCACACTCCGGAAACCAGGCGTCTTCTGCGAGACTTCCCACGTCCTCTGGGAGACCCTCGTGGCGCCCAAAGAAAAGGCGATTGAAGTGATGCCGGGCAGAGTGACGTGCTCACCAGCCAACACGCTCGCATTCAGACTATCGGCTCCCCGCGTTTCGACGGCCATCAGACGGGGTTCCCGGCCTGTCGTCCCCTGCCAGCGCTCCGGCTCAACGCCCTGTGCGAGTCCGTTGAGGAGACCGCCGCCCCCGACGGAGCAGACGATGGCATTGATGTCGCTGCCAGGCAGCTGCGATACCAGTTCGTCGACAATGGTCGATGCGCCGTCCCACACGTGCTGGTGATCGAACGGCGGAACGTAGACACCGGCGGGATCCTTGGCGAGCAGCTCTTCGCGCAGGTAGCGGTCGGCCTGGGGCCAGTTCTCGCCGACTTGATGGACCTCGGCTCCTAGGAGGCGCAGCTTGGAGATCATCAGCGGTGACGAGATCATGGGTACTACGATGGTGGCTTTGCGGTTCAGGGCGATGGCGGAGGTCGCGCAGGCGAGGCCTGCGTTGCCGCCGGAGGAGCAGTAGAAGTGGACGTCTGCGCCGGGGGCTGCGGCGGCGGCGCGGAACATGAGGTTGCCGACGCCGCGGGACTTGAAGGAGCCCGAAGGCTGGTGGTTCTCAAGCTTAAGGAAGATGTTGCTGGAGACCTTCCGTTAGTTGGCCTGGGTTGATGGTGCTTTTGAAACGTACCATCCTGCTATCCTAGAGAGGGGTGGAGATGCAATGCACGGTGTTTGGATCCATGGCTTCTTGGTGTCTGAGTCGAGCGAGCCCATTGTGGTTGATGTCTAAGATGATTTGGTGGTTTGCGTTCGGTAATGAAAGTAAGAGCCAAGTTTATCGAAGAAAGTAGAGACACGATGTTTATAGGAAACGTCGAGTCTACGGCACTAGGGGACGGATGTGGAGACTTGGCGATCCTTCAAGCTAGAGGAATTGAGTCAACGAGGGGATCAGAAGTTACTGCGCATTAAGAACCACAGCAAAAACAGCGTTCATTGAGAAATCTGCGAAATGGAAGATGATGGTTGAAGAGAGAAAGGAACTTCGCTTTCGGGTGTACATTGTAAAAATCCAGACTTACGAGGTGGGGGAGCGGAAGTGCTTCCGATGCCAGGATCGACAATAGTTCGGACGATTTCTTGAATCAGCCGCGTATTCGGAACATTTAGATCGAATTTCAGGTACTAGGTATCATTTCTGATCATTGGTCAATTGCTCCTAATTAATAAGACCTATTTCGATATACCAAAGAACCCCGCGTCGTAATCGATGGTGGATCGCCGTGTTAGAGGATGAGGGGCATAAAGACCAAAGGGCGCGCATGTCAAACTTGTACAGGGTCTTAGCAGGGGTCGCAGCGGCCGCCCGGTGGGATGAGAGAACTCCAACTCCAACTAGTGTATGCAGTCAGCCCTTGAGACAACATGGATCGTTATGGAACATGATGGATGGAATCCTTTCTGCCAACGTCGTTATGTCATCTTTCGTATGACGATTTGGATTCATTGTATTTTCATGACTTGCGTGGCTACAGTAGCCCGTGGCATCCTCACCGTTTGAAGATAAACAGTACATCAGCAAATGGATTACGTCTCTCAGTTTGCCCAGCGAATCTGTTTTTATTTCGCTTTTTTCTGAACCAACATGATGGCCTCATCTCAACAAATGTGTGATCATTGTTGCGATCTGAGATAAAATTTTTAACGCATATCCCATATTTTCGACTGTATTATAGTTAACAAGTCGAAACGAAATCGTGAATATTAGTAACTGAATCCAGAAAGACCATGGCCACTCAAAAAAGGCCCTCCTGCCATAACCAATCTTGACATCGTAGAAGCCAAAGATGGAATCATGTTTCTTTCTAATCACCACTTCACCCGCCCTTCCTCTTCCTGTCATTACATCGGCCGCAAAGGGAAGGCATTACTTCTCTGAAGCTGCCTCTTGGAGTTGAGCCAGCATCTATACCAACACTACCACTCTAGCGTGGATCTTGCCTTTCTCTATCCTCCACCGACACAACACTCCTCGTCAGTCTCTTCAGGGTTTTCATTCGTTATCCTAGCATTGAATTGTGGCGTTGAAGCTTTCGTCTGTGGCTCACAAGTTTTACCAAACTTCAATACATGTTTGTGGAGTTTGCTCCTTCATTTCGTCAACTACCTGGTCGTTTGGCAAGTAGGTACTTGCCAATACCAGAGGCCCAAACTCTGGAGAGAGCTGACGATTGCCTCAAAAATTCCTCGTCTACTTCCTCTGCTACACCCATTGGGAAGGTCGCAACCTCCTATCTCACCTTCATGACATATCTCTCTCTTTGACATCAACTTTCGTTGCAGAAGTGTCTTACTTGCAACACAAGAGACAAACCACCACAAAGACTTATTTCACGAATGAAGAAGCAACAAGGCAGCAAGTGAAATTTCACGGGGGTCAAAGACTGCGACATCTACACTGACCATCTAATCCAGCAGTTCCAAATATTATCATATACCCCCTTCATCTAAGTAAGTTTTCTGACATCTTCCTGGCAACAATCGCTGATAAAGTCAGAAGTTACCAAAAGAAACCTCGAAGATGGCTCCCGGAAAGAAGTCCAAATCCTCTTCCTCTGAGAAGAAAAGATTCGTCACATCTGGCTCGTCCAAGTCCGCTCCTACCGGTTCCTCCAAGTCGAAGAGCAAGGCATCGAAGGGGAAGGAACGAGCCTCTGCTGAGAAAACCCCCAAGCGTCAAATACCTGATGCGGTTCTCAAGTATGCCCAAAAGCGCGGCTTCGAGCTCGCCGAGACGGACAGCGACGACGATGGCATGCGAAAGTCCCCTCAAAAGCGCAGGAAGGCCAACAAGAAGAAGACCTGGGATGACTTCACGGAGCGTGAGATGCCGATTCCTCGAGACTATGGCGCAGCATTTGCGGCCAAGTCAACGGCTCATTACACCTGGGGTGCCCCGATGACTTTCACCCCGCCTCCTTTCAAAGCCCCTGAGCCCAAGAAAGCTGTTGCTGCAACGATTGCCAAGGGCAAAGGAAAGGGCAAGAAGAAGGCCAAAGGCGCAACGCCATTTCTGGATGAGAGCGACGATGATGATATCTACGGTCCTCCCAGTCCGGATCCAACTCCAACCAAGCTGAAGCATGGTTCAGTCATTGATCTCACTGATCAAGACATGCCAACGGGCAAGATCTGGTTCATGAAACTCCCTCCCGAGATCAGGGATAGAATTTACGGGTTTGTTCTCGTGGCCGACAACCCCGTACAAGTCCGACAGGGCTGGTCCACGCTCTATCCCAGAAACCGCCCTTGTCTCGATACCGCCATCCTTCGTACCTCCCACGAAATCTGGAAAGAGGCCATCGACATCTTCTACGGCGGGAACAAGTTCCTCTACCTCCTCAGAGAGACGGCGCCGGCTAGGGTCTCCGAGGTTGGCGACGGAGAGGACGAGATCGTGGTGCAGCACCCTCTCGCGCCCATGGAGGAGTACTCTTCCGACTACGACGCCGACTACGACGACGAGTACAACGACGACATTCCCCTCCCAGGCGCATCCAAGAACCCGCACGTCGAGATAGACATCCACCGGTACGGCCACAAGTTCCGGCGCATCAAGATCCTCGCCGAGCCCAACCGCACCGAGAAGGGCTACCTCCTGAGCATGGCCAACGCCATCTCCGTCTTCCGCAACCTCAAGCCGATCAAGTGCCGCATCCACACCATCGAGATCGAGATCACGCCCTCGCGCGACCGCGAGACCGGCGATCTCACCTTCCTCAACTTCTTCGAGAAGACGTCCGAGGTGATGAAGGCGCTGCGCGGTCTGCCCTGCCAGTTTATCGAGATCATCGTCAACATCTCGGACAGGCAGGAGCAGAAGCGCATCCGGGTCAACATGAAGTACGCTGCGAAAGTGCGACGTGCCCGCCGCGGCGAGGATGACCCGTGGAAGGGCGATCTGCAGATGGAGAACTACAGGATCAATGCGGCCGGCGAGGCACAAGCGCAGCTGGACAATATCCCTGCGTCTATTCGAGCTTTTTGGGACGGCCCCAAGGATAAGAACAAGGCTCAAGGCCCGGCAATGCTGGGCGAAGGGGATGAAGACGACGATGACGAAGAAGATGAGGATGACGATATGCTCTGGGGACAGGACTATGACTGAGGATGCAGACGATTTTGATGTTTCTTGGGGGCAGGATAATGATCGATAGGAGGGCGATATGATGCGCTGCTTTTGCTTCTGTTACTGGGCGTCATGCAATTAAGGATTGCTTTGGGCCGAAGCCGATCTGGTCTGGCAGAATTGGCACAGGGGCAAAACATATCACCATTATCATATTAGAAGAGGCCAGCGACAATCTTTGGGAACGTCTGCCCATCAGCGATTTGCTTTTCTGCATGGAGCCTAGCTTCCAGGTAGCGTCAACATTTTTGCTTTTTACCTCATCTTCGTAAGCTCAGGGGGTATATCTAATCATGACCGTCTTGTGCTCAACATATGCTGCCTGTTCTCCCTTATGATGCCGCCGAAATCTTGACCTTGGAGACCTCCAACGTTTCCGTGTCAACGAGAACGATCTCCTTGGTTTCTGAAAATGAAGGAACGGTGATCAACCGCGTCGTCTGGCCGTCAGCACCCTGAATTACCCTTGTTCCGAACTCTGGCTGGCAGCCGACGAAGAAGACGTGGGGAGCTTCCTTCATCACGAACGGGTCATTGTCTTGGAATGGGTATGCCCCTGGGAACGTGTTAGATATGATCAACGCATATTTGGGTCGCAAAGAGGGTGTTGACTCACAGAGTGTATCCGGCGCCGTCGGCGCGCTGCATCGCCATCTGCACATGGCCTCCATCATGCCCAACCTGTCGTCGCTGTCGACGTACTTGAAGACATCGTCGACGTTCTGACCTCCTGTACCCAGCATCCTCCACCCGTCAACCTCGGCCTCCCACGGATTCGTCGTAGTGTCGAACCAGCCGGCCTCCTTGGCATCTGGGCCAGCCGCATATGGCCTTGCGCGCGGGAACATGGCCGGGTGGATCGGTTGCTGAGGGTAACTCGCGTTGGCGGGGTCCTGTGCGCCCGGCATGAGGGTGACGGGCATGGAGGGCAGCAGGTCCGCGAGGAACTCGTCAAAGAGCTGACTCGGGAGGGGGTTATACGCGCTTGCATCGTAGCCGTACTTCTTCACCGTTGCCTTCTTGTTGCCGTTTGTAGCGTCGTCCGTCTTGAGGGCCGGGTTCGCGGCCGTTGTGGAGATGGAGTTGCCCGAGATGACTAGGCGCGAGATGTTTATGATTTGGGACTGCGTCTCGGGAGAGAGGGCCTCGCCGAGGAGGAACTCGAGGAGCAGTGAAAGCTCGAGGGCGTAGGATGCGTCTGTGCCGGAGAAGGACAGACCCGAAACGATGGCGATCTTGGAGGAGGGCTTTTGTTGGGAGGGCGTTGTGCCGGACATGTCGTGGTCTTCGGAGGATGGAGGTGGTTGGGTGAGGGACCAGCGGGAGGGTTGAGGTGCGAGATCGGGGAACTTGACGTCGATCACCTCAAGCTCGCCGCTGGCATTCTCGGTGCCCATTACGCCAATGATGCAGCCCGTCACGAGGTGGATCGATTTGAGGACGTCGCCGACGAGGCGGATGCGGCCTGAGTCGTCCTCGAGCATGATTTGGTTCTTCTCGACGTCGTCAGAATAGTAGCGGTCTGTGGAGATGGGGGCGGAGATCCAACGCTGTGAAGATTGTCAGCATAGGGATTCATCAAGGAAGAGGGGATAAATATGTGTGGGAGCAGATACGTACGTCCTTCGACACATCCTCCAGAATATTGGGCTTCAGGGGCATGTCCATATAGACGGTGCCGGTGACCCAGCAAAGCTCGCCCTGGCGGACGTCAAGGACGCGGTTGACATGGCGGGCTTCCTCGCCGCCTATGACTGTGCCGTCCCAGGCTTCAGCGGCGACGGCGTCGACGGCGGGTTTGATCGAGGTGAGGCGCAGGAAGTAGACGTCGGCATATTGTTGTTGGTAGGAACGCTCCTTTGGAAGGGTGAAGGTTGATAGGGGTTTGTACTGCGAGGAGGCGCGGACGAGGGTCGAGGAGGCTGCGGCTGCGTCGCTGGGTCGTAATTTTGTCAGCCGTTTGTTGCGATATCAAAGAAGGGTAACGTTGGGCAGGGTGAATGGAACGGTGAAGTAGAGGCAGGGTCGGAGAACTTACGCCGGTTTCTGTAGAAGCGCCGTGGCTTCGTCGAGGGTCACCATCTTGGGGCCGTGGCTCTGCAGACTCGAGTGTGTTTTGTCGAGCTGGCGATGATTTAGGACAAGCTCTCGCGGGGTGTCAATGGCAGCGGGTGCAAGAACGAAGCTTGGCTGCTACGATGCGCAGACGCGTTAAAGGACCTGGGGCTGGTGTAATCGCGTATTTTGGCGTAAATGGGCCATGGGTTAGGGGCCCATCCCCTGCTGCGTCCCTTGTGGCTTTCGCGCGGCGGTCCCCGGCCCGGGCGGTCGGTCCCAGCCACGGCGGGGTTTGGATGGAGGGGCAATTGAGTTCTAGCTGTGCTTGTCCCGCGACACGAGGGCGGGATTAGCTCGGGATGGGTGAGACCATCCCACCTTTCATCCCATCGGGTCATGACGGTGACTCTAAATTCTCCTCATAAAATTTCCTACCTCGTCGCGTACACTCTCCCTCACCACAACCTCTCTCTTCCCACTTCCTGCAACATCAGTCAGCCTCAATTGCATTCGCCCACCACGCACATCGCCCACAATGTCCGCCCAACGACCCCCAACCATCGAGGTCACAAACCTCAACTACAAGTTCCCAGACTCCTCGTCAGGCCTCGAGAACATCTCCCTCTCCGTGCCCGCCCGCTCGCGCACCCTGCTCATTGGCGCAAACGGTGCCGGCAAGACGACCATCCTCCGCCTCCTCGCTGGCAAGCGCCTCGCCCCGCAGGGCGGCATCTCCATCGGCGGCGTCGACCCCTTCAAGGAGGGCCTTGAGGGCGTCACCTACCTCGGCCTGGAATGGGTCCTTAACCCCATCGTGCGCACCGACATCGGCGTCGTCGAGCTCCTCCGCAGCGTCGGCGGCGACGCCTACCCGGACCGCCGCGACGAGCTCGTCTCGGTGCTGGACATTGACACCGCCTGGCGCATGCACGCCGTCTCCGACGGCGAGAGACGCCGCGTGCAGCTCGCCATGGGTCTCATCCGCCCGTGGACGATTCTGCTGCTGGACGAGATCACTGTCGACCTCGACGTGCTGAGCCGCGCCGAGTTCCTGGGCTGGCTGAAGCGCGAGACGGAGATCCGCGAGTGTACGATCGTGTACGCCACGCACATTCTGGACAACCTCGCCGGATGGCCGACGCACCTTGTGCACATGCACCTGGGCACCGTCAGGGAGTGGGACACGGCGGGCAAGTTCCTGAAGGATGTCGAAGGGGGCACTGGGAACAGCACCCTGGGCGAGCTGGTGCTGGGGTGGTTGAGGAAGGATCTGAAGGATCGTGGGCCGAGAAGCCAGGGACGCGTCGCGCCTGAGGGCAAGACGTACGACGCTGGTGGATACGGAGGTTACGGTGACGAGTCTGGCAAGCGATAAGCCTTGCAATTGGGTCTGGAGAGGTGGTTTCATTTTTTTTCCCTCGCGTTCAACAGGATCGGTGGATTTGGGCCATGGCGCATACGGCACTCAACTGCATTATGAAGGGCGTTTCTTTCAACATGAAAATGACGACTGGGTCATATGGCGGCATTCGGTGTCTCTCAACGACACCCAGAGGGATAACCACAAGAGGAAGAAGGGTTATAAAACAAAAGGGGGGCATTCTTAACTTGCCCGCCCTATGGCGTTTGGTTGCATACATGTTCAACAACAGCATACCCGGGCTTTTTCTATTAGGATTTTCACGGCTCTTGATACCCTGCGTCTTCAACCGAGAAGGGGGCTTTACATCTCTGGCGGTAGAAGTCTCGTCGACTCAACTAGACAGACATTTAGACGTCGCACACATTTTGTATCAAATACACATATATCGATTGATGCTGCGAGTCGCTCGCGGCGGGTATCACAACTACTCTGCACCTCAACACCTTTGCCGATTTGATGCAGGTTCGCGGTTTGCTCATTTCGGTGGCCGAGAGCCCATAAGGACCTTCATCGTGTTCCTCATCAGCGCCGGGATGCCGCCCAAGCCCTTACCCTCCAGCGCGTGCAGCACTTGTATTCTATACTCGGACCACGTCACGCGGATGCCGCGGGCTTCAGCCAACCTCGCCAGACTGTTGGCCGTGACAGGGCCACCGTGCCTAGTGGCAATGGCGTCTTCATCCTCCGCCAGCGCCCTGTCCTCCCGTTCGCGGATGCAGTCGATAGCCTGCAGACTCAGCACGGGCGAGTAGGAGAAGCCGAAGAGCGTCGGCAGTGCGAGGTCCATTCCCAGATCCTCGACGTAGCGCTGCAAACGCAAGGTGACGGGACGGGCGCTGAGGCAGCCAAGAGCATTCTTGTCCGCGTCATTGAAGGCCTTGCCACGCCAGAGACAGTTACAGACGTCCATGAGGAAGCCGTTGAAGTGGTTAACGTAGCTGGGCTGATACGTGGTCGGCTGGCGACGTGACATGGCGGTCTCGAAACCCTTCTTGTACACGGCGAGGACGGCGCATAGACGGGACACGTTAGACAGCGAGTGGCTGAAGAAGAGGAGGTATATGAGCTGCGCGGGCGGGTTGGCGATGCGGAGGAGGGGTTGGAGAGTTGGATCGGAGATGCTGGTCGCCGCCTGCTCGTAGAGGTCTAACACAGCACCATGGACCGCAACGCTTGGTGTAGCTTGCACCAGGTTCAGAGCGATGATGCCTGCGTGCTCCATCACATCGTAGAAGGCGCTGACTGGAGCTTCGGGGGGAATCGGATCGAGGGAGCGGAGAACGAAGGTCCAGCGGCGAATGAGGTTTTGGTACAGTTTTAGAAGAGAGAGCTGGGAATTTGGTGTTGGTGGTAGACATCTTTCTAGCGGCTGGAAAAGGAATTTGCGAAGTTCTGAAACGGTCAGTACTGCACTGGGCAATTAACGGGTTTAGTATACCTTCAAAGGAAGCAAGTGGCGCGTATGAGAGTATTTTGAGAATGGGGCCTCGTGCATCTACCCCATTCCAGGTTGTGAAGAGCTTGGCGAGGAAGTTCAAGACGACGGCAGGGGTTTCCTATATGGTCAGACTGGCTTGCTTCGATTACTGTGACAGCACATACCTTGACCCGAGTGACATAGTCTTCCAAGATCTCCATCGTCTCATTGAAGAGCTTATCATCGGCATTCCCATTCAGTACGTCCTCGAGAATAGCATCCACCCAATGGATCACACGTCTCGAGGCGGCATCATCTTTCTTCAAAGCGATGGACTTCTGAAGCAAGGGGTCTGCCAGGACTGCTGCCAGCTGGTTGGGAAGCTCGATTTTCTCAATATTTTGGGCGAGCCGGTCGGCGCTATCAATCTCTTCCAGTGTGACGGAGTTCTGGAGAAATTAGTCTCATGGGAGCACCACATCTTGCCCGAACATGATGGTCTCACCTCTGTAGCGGCCGAGGTATGAACTGAGGGGAGATTCGTCCCCTTCCTACCGCGAGCTCTCAAAGCAGAGTGATTGACGCTAAAGCCGTTCCGAGGCTGTCCGGTAACATCGGCAGTTCGTTGGGAATGGTCTCTCTGAATCTGATCCAATCTTTCTCTCCATTCCATGTCGGGATGCTGTGAGTGTTAGAACAAGCTCCCAAACGGACAACCGACGTTGCTGTACCTTGAACGCCGACGCCCTGCCCCTGAGAGCATCGCTGACAATGATTTCGGGATAGTAGTCCTTGTATACCCGGAGGAGACCAGTCAGAGCTGGGTCGCTGCCGGTATTTCGAGATAGGTTTAGGCTGACGATCAAGTCAGTCGTGCACCTGCGCCCTTCAAAGCGATGCATACTTACACGAGTTGTATCCTGAAAGGTCGAACGTGCTTTCTCCGTGTTATGAGAGCAAGAAGATGACAGAGCTGTGGCCTGGATGGCGTCAGCGCCTTGAGTTTTTCAGTAAGTGAGCCAGGGCAATCCAACCTGATGGCGGCTGTATCGAGGAGGTTGAAAAGAACAGCATATGCTTGCGATAATACTGCTGGATTCTCAATAACATGGTACGCCATGATCAGCCATTTGAGCAGATTTGACTGCAAGTTCAGCGAAGGCTTGAGCTCTCCGTGTCCCAGGCAACCCACTACCCTCCAAACAACATCATTTGATAGCTTGGTTGCAGGGTAGAGACTCTTCAGCAATGCGTTGAGGCTGCCTTGGTCCAGATAGCTTGGTCTCGTAAGAAGATATATGAGCTCATTGAGTGGCTCAGGCAACAGGCCGTTTTCATACGCCGATGAAGCTACCTTGTCCACGGTAGGTCTAATGGCCGTAGCTCGCTTCTTGGCCGGTAGTTTGGAGGCTATGGAGTTGAAATCGATCAGCGTTTTGATATTTACATGATTTCCAACAAGTGCAACTCACCCTCAACGATGTCCTCTACAAGCTGGTTTATGTCGTTGTCTCCATCTACAGACATGTCGTCTCTGGGTGAAGCCATTTTGGTCGGTATCCTATCTTCCTTGGAAAACCCCAGTGCGTTAACGGAGCAATGCAAGGCAGGAGATGCAGGGACGCCGTGAGCGGTGGTGCAGTCCCGAGGTCGGGCTGGTGGTGTGGTCCTCGTTCGGTCGCGAATAACGGAGTGGTGGACGCGTCGCGGGGTGAGAGAGCTAGCTAAGGTGAGCGCGTCTTCCTTGACCGGGAAAAAAGTGGCGCACACACCTTGCATGGGTTGTGGATGTTAATGGCCGGACGAGCCCCACTTGCGGTTCCTCAGCGGCCGGGGGCCCAGTGCAGCAACCGGAATGAGCTCCTGTCGGCTGCAATCGGGCTGGAGAGGAGGCCCGCGGAGGACCTGCACGGTGCACGAAAGACGGTCGGGAGGGTGAGCGAGCATAAGCCTGTGCTTGCCGTCGATTGGGCGAGCATGGGTGGGGGTCTCCTCGGTCACCGGTAAAAAACCATCCATGAACACCACGAAATTGGTAGGTGCCAATGGGAACATTGCTCGGTGAGAAAGAGCTAGGCGAGATTCTTGGCAAGAATCTACATCTGGCCTGCGACTCCTGGCAGGTACTGGGCAAAAACAAAGGCAGATATGTCTCATGATCCGAGCATCTGATCATGTTTGATGATTGGGGTCCGAAGTCGCATCATGCCCGATTTGCGCATCTGGCTGACCGCGGCTCATTGGCACTGTGACACGGGAAAGGAGATGGCCATGATGAGATGAGCTGCAGGCAAAGAGATGGTAGGGCAAGATTGGCACAAGAGGGCTCACCGGCCTTCCCATCGAGTGTGTATTCGTATGCGTGCGGATGCTGCTCTGCTTACCTTACCTTACGTTGAAACGCTTGCTGCGTGCTGCGGCCCCGAAACCGACCCCAGGTAAAGGTATGTAAGCGGCGTACAAGCCGTCTTGGCTGCCATGACCTGCGCTCATTCGGCCGGGCTTATTCCAAAGTTAGCCATGAATTTGGGGTCCAAGTTGGGCTTTGTGATATGTGAGGCGTACCGGCATTCGCGACTCATTGACGGACAATTGAGAAAGCGCTCGGGATGGTGGACATTTCTCCTCATTGTCTTAGATGAGATGAGGAGCACGACTCTCCTCCCGGCAGATGCACGGCGACTAGAAGGGTTGGAAGGGCCCAGTCGTGGCCTCACCTCGCGTTGCACAAGGCGGGCCATTTACAAGGAAGCTTGGTGTTGTAGGCGCAGGCGCAGACGTCAGACTTCCATGTCGATGTCGAGCAAGGAAATGAGATGGAAATCGGACGTTTCCCTAGGCTCTTCTTGCCTGCTCAATTCTTCCCTCATCTATCCGCATCTGCACCTGTTCTGCAAAGGAAAGAGCTCTGGTGCGCAAAGCAGGGTTTCCATCCGTATCCGCAGGTGAGGTAAGGTAGGTAGGTAAGGCACCTAGGTAGGTAAGGTGCCATCCTGCGCCCGTATCTGACGGGACGTCCATTTTGACGCACTGGCGCCTGCCCGAACCTATGGAAGCCTGAAAGTGACGAACCGTTCCCACACCTGCATCTTACACCGTGCTTCTGGGGAACGGCGCCCACCGTCCGTAACGTCGGGTGCGGAGCATATAGCAAAGTCCTTGCTTACCTTACCTTACCTTAGGTACGCTTTGATGCCTACCCCCTGGTCCCGCAACTGTATCCGTATTACAACTCCTTCCACTCACGCTGCACCATACCTCCCTCGACTATCCGCCGCCTTCCGACACCATCAAAATGCTCCTGGCGCATCGCATGGAAGTCGTTCAATCGACAGTGTGGACAGGAAGGAACGGTATTTCTCTATTGTTGCTTTGCCAATAAGCCGGGTCGAAACCGACTGACGTCCGCTTCCGACCTCATTGTTTCACAGACATGCTACACAAAATGCTTCGTCAGAATCCTTCCGTCACTTCCACCCATGACAGACCAAACCACCATTTCTCTTCGCCTCCACATCGCTGCGCAAGGTGATGTAGCCTGCTTACCACTTACGCCGCTTTTTTCTCTCTTGGTCATTTTCCTTCCCACGGTACGGGTTCGGTGCGTTTATGTCAAGCCCTGGTCTAATCGTCCCTTGTTGTCTCCCCCAGGCCGCGTCGATCGCTTCCATCGCCGTTGAATCTCGCAAGTTGGAAGTCCAGCTGTCGACATGTCCATCGACTGTAACCTATGCCCATCACTGCCATACTAGGGCCAGATCAAGTCACCGAGGACCCTCGCCGGTCCTACCCAGGGTCCAACGTTTTGTGCCATTGTTCGCGGCCCGACGTCTCCACAGCCGAGAGACGCCCGATTGAGACTCAACATCTACCATTATCCCGCCCCTGTTGTGCCGACTCTTCCTTCTCCTGCCTTTTGTTGGTAGGATTTTCCCGGCAAACCCTATTTTTCTCACCCTGACAAATACCAGTTACACCACCAACAGCCTAGACTGAGCTATTTTGTCCCGGCAATCTCGTTTTTGACTTTCCTTTTTCTGTATGCAGACCCCGGGCATTTGGTACTTGGAGAGCTCCAAGACTGCGGTTGGTCTTGGAATGGCACTCAATGACTGTACTCGTGCACCAAGTGCCCGCTTCTTATGCCCAAATCGAGAAGACACCTCACCCTTTCACTTACGTCTGAAGCAAAGTCTTCCAAGTCTCCTGCTCCATCACCCGTGGGGGGTTTGGGGGCTGCGTTGATCGAGCAGCAAGTCTCACGAGGTCTGGTGCCAGTTTCCTATCATCATCTTGGCTCCGTGTCACGTTCGACCGTCATGCGCTGGCGTCTGCTTACCCTTCCTTTCTCATCTCACCTTGCACCCGCCGGAGTCAATTCATCTGCAGCTACTTTGTGTAACCTGTGTGAGCCCCTCGTGTTGCTAAGTGGCAGCTGCATGGTTTGCCCGGTGGTCAGCATATCAAGGTAAAAGACCGCTCCTCGTTGTTCCGTTATCCATAGATTGGTCCCCAGCAAACGGACCTAGTGCCGCCCCGTACCGCGGCGGTTGCATTGGGATACACCCGTCCAGCCATCCATCCTTCCCACCGTCCCTCCATCCTCATCTTGTCCATGGCCACACACTCTTTATGTCCGTACAAGCATACGCACACAGCCAACTTGCTATTGTATCAGTCAGATGCCCCCCGGACCAGGAACCACGTCGCTCTTCATTGATTAATTGTTACTGCGACCCACCACCCACAGCATGAGGCGTGGAGGTCCTTGGACATTAGCCGCTTGCGCGCTCTGCTCGTCTTGTCCTACCTACATCCACAGTACAATGCTATTACCTTCTTACAGTCGCTCAGCGCTGGATTTATGCAATCCGCTGATGATGTCCGTGTGCATGTCGTTTCAAGATTTTCTCCATCCACGTTGCTCATCAGTCTCCATTCAGTCTACCCGGCAGCCTGGCTGACCCTGTCTCCTCCGCCGCTCGCCTCTTGTACACACCCCACTCTTTGCTGGCCTTATGCAGTGCTCTTCCCACGCCTATCAGGATAAAGGGCTCACCAAAGGACATCGTCTCTTAGACTCTTTTCTGCTGCTAGCTCGTCACGGTATGTGTAACCTTCCTGTTCCTCCCACACGATGCAAGTGTCAACATTTAGACTTGCGGGTCCCTTATGTTTCCGTTGCGTCTCTTTCGACTTCGTTTCTCAATCATCTTTAGTTAGCTGACGCAGCCCTGTAACTTGAAATAGCAGGCAGCATCATTCGCTCCCTTCCATCCTCGGCTTGACGCTGCCTCGGCATGAGCCTCCTGTCTCGTCAACTTGTTCAGCGGTATCGGCAGTGGTAGTCATTATTGACTTCCTCGGACAACCCTGTATGCGGAAGTTTGAGTCTACTCGATCATACCGCATATAATTCAAGGCGCCCGGGCCCAGAAATCATTTCAAGCACAGCTATTTTAGAATTGACGAACCCCTTTCCCGCTACCTACCACACGATTACTGCGTGAGCACGCATCAACTTGTCAATGTTGACACCTCTTCAGGCTGTACAAGTGCTGTTGTCTTCTCGACCGAGTTGGTGAGGCTCAGTCAGCCAGTTCTACGAACGATATTGCCGGCAGTGTCGTCTCCTCATGCCGAGCAAGGCATCCCATTCACTGTACAGGTTAGTTCAGTCATTGACATCGCTTCATTCGAGCATACTCATGATACACCATTGGCTCTGAACCGTTGTGTAACCTCAGCTGACCTTTTTAGTAGGGATGAGCTGGAGTTCGATCTTTAGGTGTCTGAGATATTCGACATGAGGTACTCCCCTGACATGCAAATCGACCGTCTCGTCGGCTCGAGGAGCAGTCCAAAACCGAGTCAAGGGGCTATGGCAATGTTGCTACGGGATCAGCAGGATTGTATCCCACTTGGAAGGTGTCTGTCGGAAGACGATATCATTGTACTCCTCACGCCCGTTGTCGTCCCATACAGCAGAAACGCCGAGAATGATCGAGATCCATTCGAACCGCTGGGCCGTGCGATTGCTGCGCGGCATTCTATGGTTCGCCATGTTCCCTATACCAAACGAGGCGGCATCAACAATATTCACTCCGAGTTCATAAAGAGAGCGAAAACGATAGTTTTCGTCATCTCTGGGCCACCATTAGACGGCGATGTCTCGCAGGTCGAGCTGGCGGAAACCGCGCGGTCCTTGGCTGAGGAACGTCCACAAATTTTAGTGGCATGTTACAACGTCAAGGCAGATCCAGATGTTCTCGAAAACTTTGCCACGATTGTACAAGTCGGGGGATTTGCACCATCGGACCTCGAAAGCGCAGCTTCAATCATATTTGGAGATCAACGACCCCCGCCCGTCAATGCCGTACCTGTGCAAAATCTTATCATCAGTGCAGCACGACATTGGCCTGTGGAGATTTGTGGTCAGGACATGGCGCCAATACACAAACTTTGGACAGAATGTCTACCGCCAAAATATCACCTGCCTCAATTTGCGCTTGTTCTCCTTCTTAAACGGGATGGATATACGATGAACTACGTCGTGAGAGACCCCGATACCCGAGAGATTGTTGGTTTCTGTGCGACATACACAACATTTACGGACAGTGACCAGGAGAGTCTTCTAGGCTCGTTGGCCGTCTTGATTGTCAAAAGCTCGTATCGAGGGCGAGGTATAGGTCTGAGCCTACACGACTATGCATTAAAGATGCTACAGAGAACACGAGGTGTGAGACGGCTTCAGCTAGGGACGGCTTTCCCACGCCTACTGTACGGGGTCCCGTCAGACTTCTTCGCAAAAGAATGGTTTGCTCGCCGAGGCTGGCAGATGCATGGGCAGGAGGTTTCGGACTGGCTTCTCCGGTTTGACGATATGCCAGCAACCAGTCTATCCTCAGCAGGACTAACTTTTCGGCGGTGCGACTTTATGGAATTTCATCAAGTTCTGCAAATTGTAGACAGAGACGCGATACGAAAGGGAAACATGGGATGGTATGACCAATATGCGAGGCTGGACGGCACTCCAAACATTGAGGACGTTGTCATCGGTCTAGAGGGCGAGACTATTGTGGCTGTCGCTTTGACGTACATCCCCAACACTGGAATCCCAACCGAGGACGACCTACCGTGGGCCAAGACCATTGGCGCGGATGTCGGTGGCGTAACATGCATTTGCATCACAGGTTCGTGGCAACACTATCAGGATCTCGCGATGTCAGTGGCTCACTCAAAGCGCTCCAGATGATAATCATGAAATGGTGAATAGCCGGGACTCGGTTATGATTCGATTGCTAGATACCTGTGTCAAGTTGCTGGCCGACCGAGGTATGCAGCAAATGTTCATCGATGGTGTCAAAGGGGGCAATGCTGGCTTTCAAAGTCTAGGTAAGCAGAACCTTCGAATACTTCGTGTTCCCAACTAACGCGCTGGCGAAGGTTTTCGAGAGTGGGCAAGATACAAAGACAGTTGGCGAAAGATCTGAACAAAGATCTCACGTACATAGGATGATACCAATCGCCGACGACGCCTTTGGGCTAATTTGCACCACCCACGCCTTTCGATTCCTTCGCCAATCTTCACCGCCATGACGTCGCTTTGTATGACCTTCAAAACATGAACACAGCATGCCGAGACCGCTCCCTCCATGTTGGATGCGGGGTGCCTCCCCCGTTGGCTGACAGCCGACCATTTAGTGCTGGCTCTTATCCCAGAAGTGACGGCTGTATACATCGGCTCCGAGTACCACCTGGTTCCTGTTTCCAGGAGCCCTAAAGATTGAAGTGCGTGTCAAATTCGCAGCACAAAACCTCCTTGCTCGGGAGTGTGGCTGTCCCCATCCGCAGGACTAGACAGGGGCTGTTCGACAGTAAGCAGAGCGCCCCAATGGCGGTCCTCTGTGTTGCTGACCATGTCCGACAAGAACACATGATGAACAGTCGTGGCACCTATCATTGGCATCATCCGTCAGCAATGCGATGTATGGTAATACTCTGCAATTGCCTCGGATCTCCCCTATCGGCTAGCTATCAAAATGCTATCAAAGGGTTGACAAACCCGAACAACCACTCTCCTCTTCAGGATGAGCCGCTAACATATGGCCTCTGTGCTCGGTCTCGTTGAGGAGGAACAAGCCAGACAAGGTCCGCCAATTTGGGTTTGACCCGGCATAAGCAAGGGGCCCGGGGTGGACACCTAGGTAAGATTGCCATGACCAACAGCACTGCTTGCCAGGTTTAGACTGCCTCTTGCGGTTTGGAGGCCTGTTTTTCCTCGCGAACGGGTTTTCTTTGCAAGGGGTTTACATTCAAAAACCTCAACGCCCCTTTTCTCCGCAGTAACCGGAGTGGGAGGACGGCAACTGAGCATAAATGACAAAATTTGAGGAGTTGTCTGTACTTCTGCGAGCCCAACCAGCATGGGGACGGAAAATGTCGATAGACATGTAAATGGAGAGACATTTGGTGGAGGACCCCGATCTTTTTGTTAAGAGCCGCAACAAGTAATAAGTCATTGGAGCCCAACCGACGATCATCAACCAACCTTCGGCCCCGAGTTTGGCAGACACACCCTGTCACTCCCGAGGTTATGCCAAAGAGAAACCGATTTTAGCAGCGCCGATCAGGCAGGTCGATATCGCAACTCGAACTGTCTCGTGTAGATTGGGCGATGGCTGCCGAGTTTGAAAAAGGGGGGTTCCCAATGGCCTGATGCAGAGCTTACACACAGACTCTAACGTTTCCCATGTGGCCAGGGATCGAAGCCATGAACCACCCGCGGACCATCCGTCTAGACCAGGGGAGGAAGAACGAACGCTGTGGCCGGGTGGCCGGGAGCAGCCGAGCCACGCCGACTAGCACTGGATTGTTAGCGTCCGGCATCCCGGTCACATCGCCGGGGTTATCTCCGTGCTGCCACTTTCAAGTTTCCGTGCGACCCAACCAACGAACCGACCCAAACAGCTCTCCAATAATACGGTCCCATCCTTGTTCCCCAGATCCCTGGTCGCAGGTCCGTCCTGCTCGGCTGCGTTATCCCACAGAGAGCAGGATGCAGGTTGAATCACACAAATGTCGTTATTGGTCTGCCCCAAAACCTGTGCGTGGAAGCTGAGATGAGCTTTGATTTGAAGCAGGCTGCACCTGAGCAGCGGTGTCTGCGGTCGAATGCTGGGAGATGCAGTACGGGATCACCCCTCACTTGTCAATCTGTGCCGGTCAGACTCTCATCTGACCTGCGCCATGTGGACAGGACGTCAGTAAGAGAGAGTAATCGACTGACCGGCCCGCTCGATAGGGGCATAACGGTTCCACTCTGTCGTGCCGGATACCCACAAACGTTTTCGAAGGCGCTCGCGCAATTCTTCTCGAAGAAAAAATACTTCGAGCCGGTGCTATGTAACGTCATTGACGGCACTGGCGTTGATCCTTAGAAGCCTGCAGGGCGACCGAAGATTTTCAATCCAGCCGTGCAATATTGCCAGAGCAGCACCGTTTAAACATGACCGCACCCTAGCCACTTTGCTGACCCCGGCTCACCCTCACGGCACGGCTCTCTCGCCGTTTGCGCCCACCTGCCCTCGAAGGAAAGGCTCACATCACACACCCACGAAATGCGGCCGCTGTGAAAAGGTGTCAGTCCGCCTGGGCGACGCGTTACCCATCTAACGGCCCGCACAAAGTGGCCGCCGGCCAACGAACGTTGACGCGCAAAGTGAACTATTGAAGCGGACGTTGTTGGAAGGAAGAGCGGGGGGGACTGCTGACGGACAAGGACAGGGGTGGTTTGGGTGAGAGCGTGTGTGCCACGAGAGTGCAGACGTATGATTTACACCAACCACCATTAAAGACTCTTTGGTGGGGGGATGAGGAGCAGGAGCGGTGTTTGTTCATGTCGTGGAACAATCGACCCGTTCTGGCGCTTCGGGCGGTACGCCAATTCTTGATTCGTTGGGGGATTTTTATATCGACTGGTAATGATTACTGAATAGAGAATAGATGTCACGCCTTCCTACCCCTCGATGATGAGGCGCGGAGACCGGAAAGAGCAACGATCTATTGCGAAGGCATCTTCCCCACCCATCCGGCTGAATAGTTGCTGACACTCCCATCGGTTGACTTACACTGTGTAGGCTTTTCGCACGGGAGAACTAACACTCAGTGGGACTACATCAAGACCCATCATCTTGTCGGTCGTAAGCCTTTTTGGTGGGCAGACAGATTGGCAACCCAAGGAGCTGGGAACCCCAGCTAGCTTCACCGGCCAATTTCTCCGGTCTTTTTCATTTTGTCCCCCTTCCTTGTGCTCCGTCACGCTACGGAGTTAAGGTCCGTGGTCGTGGGAGCTGCTGATCCCCGCCTGGGGTCGGAATCTATATCCGCGGAATCTTACCCGGTGTTCGTCGTGTTTACATCGGTAGACGTAGCTTACCTATCGGTAAAGTCTTTGTCCTGGTTGCTTGGTTGCTTTATCTGCCAGCAGCCAAAAACGATAAGAAGGCGAAAAAAGGTATTGAAGTGTGTGTATTAATTTCGTGTTTATATGCTGGCTTGTGGGATTCCTTTCGTCAAACACGGCTCGGCAGTCCCGAGTTACATCTCGGGATGCCGTGGGCCGAAGAAGCGAGTTGCGGGCCAAGACTCAACCGCGGATTATATGGCTCGCTCGACGTTTCTTTTGAGACTAAGCCGTGACGAGGATGCAATCAAGGCATTCTGCATACAGGTACATGTGCGTTTTGTCACCGGGCCCCAGTTCGAATAGGGTAGCCAAGCCGATTACAGCGCAGGGAAGGGTAGAGCTCGTGGTTCCAGTTGTTGATGATTGCTGAGATTGTGTGTGCCGGGCTACTTCCCCCTCCCAGACACAGATGCGCTTGCGCAAAAGATCAAACGACATCTTGGCTTTTTTTCCTTAGTCCGTAGGGTGAGGTGGGGTTGAGGTTTACGTCTTCGTGACGTAAATCGCAGGTGAAAAATGTGATCGGTGGGTTGATAATTGCGTGATGATTATGTGTGTTCCGTCTGGCGATGGGATTGCATAAATATGTTGAAATGGCGATTAGCCTTTAGGTAAGGTTGTGAACTATTTGTCGTACTCAAGGCCTACTTACGTTTTTGAAGCCTTGGAACGAATATTGATTTGCAGAAGCCACTCTGGGCTTTTGAATTTAAAGAATTGGAAAAGAGACTCCGCGAAGGTGTGTTCTTAGGGCCTGATAATGAAGTGTGTATACCTGCTGGTAATTTACGCCTGTTGCAATATTATGATATGGTTGCAAGACTGAGCTGTTGGATTGGCACGGCTCTGACAATAACGAGCTCTGCTTACTTTCAAAAGCTTCTAATGGACTCTCTGGCCTAAGATCGAGCCACTGGCAAGCTAAACGCTACCCTTTGATGAGGGTTTGTCACGACCTATCTGTTTCTGGTCAACTATAATCCCGCAAGACGAATGCTTTGCCCAGGCAGCTTGAGCCGTTACCTTCGCTCGACTTCCTCGACGTGGCAAAGCTCCGATAGGAAATGAGCATGGGTTAGAGAGAGGCGCGCCAGCTTATCAAAAGGTAGAAGGGCTGACGTCGACACATGCAGGGCGTCGCGGACTAGGTCGTTTTGTGAACATCGACAAGGTACAGAGTATGGAGTCGTCCAACATGCAACGTTTCTCCAGAAAGGGGACAGGGTATGTGAAGATTGTTGGTGTTGGAAATTGGTTCTTGGCATGGTCGTGGTCATCGGCCTATCATCGAACGGGATCTCGTTGGCTCCCCCCTGTTCTGCTCCGTTAAAAACGGCCTCTCGAATTCCCAACATGGCTCCGGCGAAAGGATGTCTAGAAGCTATATCGGTGAGCTCAGACAGCTCTACGATACAAACCTATAGAATTCTCGACGCGTTTAGAGTATTTGGCCACTGACAAGAACGCAGGGCAAAATATATACTCTTTACGTGCGGCTTTCGATTGTCTGTGCCCCATTGATCTGGAGCGGTCTACGGCATTGAGGTTTCGTGAAAGCGGCAGTGCCATTGGTTGCTATGAATTGTGTGGCGTTGGGTGCTTAGATTGGGGTCTGAGACTTAGGAGCAAATGGCCCGTTTGGAGTTGCCTGGTTTCTGGATGTGGAAGCCACGATGCTGCAAGGTTTCGGAGAATTACCGGTTTGGGAGGTGTTTAGGCCTCGCCGAGTCGGGAGGGTGCGGTGGACGATACGCGGGATAGGCGGGATAGTCGTAGAAAGAACTAGTCGAGAGGGGTAAGGTTTGAGTGTACAGTCGGGCTCTAGGAGAGATTCATAGGTTGGTGTGTTCAGATATCGATTGCTCTTGTGTGCTAGGTGTAGCCGTGATTGAAGTTTTGGCATATGATTCTTAAAGAGTTGAATGAGCTGTGATCGTATGTATGGCCGTGAGCCGTGGAGAAACTCCAAAATTGAACGACGTGGACAAGAGGCCAGCCGTTCATCTGCGAGTCATGAGAAGTTGGCGCGATTGGACTTTCTTCTTGTCGATGTCCTGTACCGCACGAAGGTCACTTTGACCTCTCGAGTGTACCACTGTTTGCATACTTTTCCCAGACACATCATTGCATCACACTCATTTTGGTTTCTACAGAATGATGAGAGAGATCGCGGAGTGGCCCCCAAAGCACCTCTGAAAGGGTCTGCTTTTGTGCCCGAGACCTCTAAACATGTTCAGAAGGGCTCGCAATCATCGCCAACCTACTAGCCAAAGCTATATTGCTGAGAGCTTAAGTGAAGCACTAGACTTTCATTGCTTGAACAGAAATGATCTTGCCCGTGCTTTCTGGGCTGATATGGTTCAGGAATGATTAACAGACCCGACTGTCTGTTGTGGAAGAATCGCCGCCATTGAGTCGCGATGATAGTCATCAGTGGAGAGTCCAAAGTTGTGTTTACACGCTAAGACTCTATTTTGAAATGAATGTCGAGTTGACGCATCGCCATGGCCTCAAGGCACATGCATGACTATAAAATATGCTGCTGAATTTGCGCAGCCGCTAAAGCGTGTAGAGGCTGGAACAGGTTGTGGCGATGGCTTCGTTGGTGGCGAAAGCAGATCATATCAACGGCATGCAGTTTTATTGCTTAGGACGGCTGATAAAAATGGAGATACTATTTCTGTATCGGCAGGTCATAATCAGAGAAACAAGAACGGCCATGTTCCTACACACTGTTGCGGCAGGCCATCAGCAACCTCGTCGTTCACCCTTTGTCCATTTCTTGGCAGATGACAGCATACGAATCCAGCTATTTCACTTGCATCACTTATGATGCAGAAACTACAATGCCCATCTTCCAATATGAAGCAGTGCTCTTTGGGGACTACCTCTATCATGAAAGGGAGACATGACGAGCAGCAGCGGCGGCCACGGCGTCCAATTGATTGATGTGCAATCATGGGGATGGGCCGTCGCAGGACGAGGAGTAGTCGAGAACCTCCAGTGTCGGAACGTCGTCGCGATAGCGAGAGGCTCAATTACATTCTTGGGCGTTTGAAAGGGACAATGTCTAGGTAGTGTTCTGTCGAAATCTTCTTCGATCGTTCATTGCCCTGCTCAATGACAGCCGGATAGATCGAGGAGGACGAGGCGTTCAATTAGCATCGACTGGGTGACAGGACTCGTGCATTAACAGTCTGTGACCTAGCAACATGCCATCGTAAGTGGATCAGAACGAAGATCTCGCCGTCCTTAGCCGTCGACGTCTCGATTGTCGCGAAAGGAAGCTGTCCTGAACGTACGAAATTGCGGGATGCCCTCGCAAATTGTGTGTGCGCTCGATTCTGGGTATTTCGGCAGGGAGCCTGGGTGTTGACGATATGTTTGTGTGTTTGGGTTCGGAAGCCGGGTGAAGGAGACAAATACTAAGCATGACGACCGAGTCCGTTTGAGGTTATTTGTCGAATTGAATGGATGGACTGCTGACTGTCGATATATACGTTCATTGAAGCATTTCTAGGACTCAAAACGATGGAAGGACTTGGTTGAGAATGGCTGTGATCAAATGTTTCCAAATTGACTGTCGAGCTCAGAAGGCGACGGTAACACGATTGCGACGTTGGAACAGTGGATAAAATGCAGAGGACACAAATCAAGAATGTCTTGCGGAAGGGAGTCTTGTCGTCACGATAGCCTATACAATACAGATTGAGGCGTCCATGTAAAAACAAATAACAGAAAACTTTTAGTGGTATTCATTCCGAAGAACCCGCCGCCTTCCCCCCCGTGGTTGCCCTCTTCACTCCCCGTCCATAGAAAAGTGTCATTTAAAGACGCCATATGACGAGGTACTTAATACATCGTTTTGCGTCTTTTGTTCTTTCATTAGGTACCCAACACGCCCCCGCCGAACTTTTGTTGTATGTCGCTTGCTACTTTGTGGAAAAAAAAGAGTCATGGGGTCTGTGATGTCGTATTTACGCCCATTTAGAAAAGTCTACCGACTCTACGAGAGAGTCGAGTCCGTTGGCTGTAACAATCTCGGTATCGTTGGTTGTGGTGGAGAGCATTGAGCTGCGGTGGCTCGTTTGTTCGCTCGTGCTCGTGAAGAAGGTGGCGACGGAGGATCGACGGAGGCTGCTGAAGCTGTCGCGCACGCTAGCTGATTTGGCATCCGGTCCCACTGGGTTGGGGCCGACGACAGCGCCGCCCAGTGAGGTGGGCGGCGGTGATGGTGTCAAGGCACTGTTGATGTGGTTGAGTGGAGCGTGTGTGTTTGGCGCATTCTTAGGGCCAAATTTCTCACGAAGGCGCTTGATCTCCCTGAGTCGGTTACGCCAAGAACTGATATGCTCGCCGACTTCGCGGTTTGCCCAAACCAGACAGAAAACGGAAGCGTTGAGCGCTAGCAAGCGGATGAAACCTGGAAGCGCTCTCAGACTGACCATCTTCGTCTCAGACGCTGGTGAGATTTCAGGAAAACCAGGCTTGCTCATGACCTGCACCTTATAGAACGGCGGGTGCTTTTCGCTTGGTGGGTTTTCTCGCATGGCGAGGAATCCTGCTCTCGATTCTGGAGTGATGACAATATTGACATAGTTGAATTCGCTAGGAAAAGTATCGAACTTGAAGGGCGTTCCGGAATCGTTGAAAATGATATTGACGAAGTCGTTGCCGATGTGTCGCTTTTTGTTAATACAGATTGGGTCTCGCTCAAGGTTCGTAGGCATTTGCGTAGTGACGTGGAAGACCATTTCTGTAACCTTGTCGCGCCAGCAAAATGTGTACTCGCCGTCGGTGTCGTACTCCCTATCCAGGCCCTGTGAATTGAACTTGGAACCCTTCAGTTTTGTGAGAGTGCCCAAGCCGTTGAGGAACGTCACGTAGTCGCTACTACCTGAGACGTTGGCAAGAATCTCGGCTTCTTCCGTCTGACCTTCGCCAATGTAAACCACTCCGACCTTGTGTCCGTCCACAGTCGAATTGCGGTCAAACACCCTCATAGCTCTCTGCACCGCTTCATCATCGGGAAGAGGAATTGGGCGAGCTCCGTCGGCGGTCTGCGGGGTTGAGGTCATCAACTGCACCATTAAGTGGCTAGGCAGGATGTTGTTGTTGGTCAATTGCCCGTCTCTCGAAACATCGGATATGTACTGTGCTTGGTGTGCCGGACGTGGTCGGAAGTTCTCGTGGACAATGTAAGATGACGTCCCAGAAGGTTGCCGCTTAGTGATCTGGGACCACCCAGTGGTCGTTGACTGTTCAATTGTCACGATGCTGTTACCCATGAGCCATCTGCGCTTCAGAATCTCTCCAAATCTTTCTTTAGTAAAGAGTAAATCTTCCGAAGATTCATCGGCGTCGGCGAAAGCGACTCTTTGCATGAAGTCAAGCGTGACCAAAGCTTGTTCCTCAGGATTTTGTCCACCGTCGACATCTGTGAGCAAGTTCTTGGCAATCCATCCAACGTGGTTAGCACGATCGGGGAGCTTCAGGGCCAAGAACCAGAAAGTAATGACATGGTATGCCAAAGCATACACATATTGAGGCAGGTCGTCTGCCGCGTTTGGATGCAAAATGTCTGGCGCTGAGGTCCCGGTTGGCGTTGCTGCTTCGCTATGGAGGCTGCCTCGTTGCGTTTGCTTCTTGTCTCGAACGTACTGTAGGTATCTGACGCAAATACCAAATACGATGCGATACTCATCTTCCCTGAAGTTGACGTACAAATTTTGCATTCTGCTCAGACATGCAAGAAACTCCAGAATGTGCATAGCGACATGTGGTTGGGTAATAATTTGCGCCATCTTCTGCAACATTTGTACTAGAGTCTTGCTGGTGGACAGAGGTAATTCGTGGCAACAGATTGACAGAGCGTGAATGCAATATTTGGCGCACCTTTCCCAAGTCGATATGCCCTTGACAAAGGCTTGCACGATCTCGTCCTCTTGGTCCTTGAGGAAGAACTCGTGATAGCTCAATATCATGGTCAGGCTGTGGAAAAGGCAGATGGCGACATCGGCGCGCCGCAGGCTGGTACAATTGGGCGGCTCTTGAAAGTTGTTCGTCCGAATCTGTTCACACACCACGCGCCGAAGCTCTTTGATTTGCGGCACAGCTCCCCGGAAGATTGCATGGTTCGTGAGTTGTGAAGGCAAATGCACCAATACCATGCTGTAGACCTCCCAATCGCCTCCGTGCTCGACAATGTGAACAATCGCGTCAAGCCAGACTTCCATGTTCAATGCAATTTGTTTCGTCTCCACGACAGTTGTCTCGCCTTCTTCAGTGACCGTAGTATCCAAATCTTCGATATGAGACACCAGTATGGGACTTGCTATTGCGGATGGAGACTCAGGCAAAGCCTCGGGATCAGGCAGGACCCATAGTTGCTTGTAAGGATGCGTCTGTTTGGCGCCGCTGACAGAGCGCAGGGGAAAGCTCCTGTCTTGCGTTGACGAGCTGCTGAAAGAAATTCCTCTCGCAGTACGGGATACGGCGCCATGGTCTGCTCTCGTGTTTCTAGCAGGTTGAGCATCTTCACTTTTCTTTCGTCCTCGAAGCGAACCTGTGTGTTGCAATGTCGCCGCCAAGCCTTCTGACTCTGTATCCTGGATCAAGAATACCCTGTTGGCCCAGTCGGCTCTCAGACGGAACAAAAGCTTCATCGCTACCAGTCGAGCATCCGTTTTGCCAGAGCTTGTTTTCGCGATATTGACGAGTGCGTCGTAAAGTTTGAGACTTTTGGCGCCGTCTAAGTTCATGCATCGCATGAAAAGCTTAACATAACCCCTTGTCACAACACCAGAAGCTGTATGGCTCTTGACAGGACCTGCATCAGCCATGACCGGGGTTGTTGGCCGCGATGTCGTTGACGATGGTATTGGCGATAAGAGCCGCTCGTTCATGACAATTGTTCTCAACGTGTCTGTGATATAGTCGAAAAGTTCACGATCCGAAGACACACAGACAGAAACCATAAATGAGACGACTGCCTCAAGAACCAGCAGGTTGGTCTCATCAGCTATGTCTCTCAGAAGGTCTTTAATCAGATTCGGAACAATGTCATCGCCTAAACCCTCTCCAATGAGGTCCATCATGTCGTAAGACTCGGTGACAGCCTGAAGGGCTAGAAGGCGAGTCTGAGAAGTTCGGTTCCGATTGGCGTAGAATTCCGACAGGACCAGAGATAAGTTTTCTTCCCACTGCAGATCCGAAGGAGAGCAGCATCGGAATTCCTGGAAGTATGTGAGAACAACCCGTGCCGCAGAATCTGGAAGTCGGGCATGAATGTTGGTGAAGAACCTGATGATTATCTGTCGCTGAACAAAATCGCCGGACTTATTAGTGGCCAACTCTTCTAGACGCGCGATAAGCTTCAACAGCTCGAGGCCAATAGCTTCGTCTGGTCGGTCAGGTTCTGTCTCCGGGGCTATTAAACCGATACCGGTCACCATGTTTGGTGAGGCCTTCTTTGAACATTCCATGGCCACATCCAGTAATGTCGACCAGTCTTCCTCGATGATCAGATTATGAAGCTTTCCATCACCGTCGCGGAACAGGGAGTTGACGAGCTTCAAAATTGCGCAGTGAACTCGGCCCGAGTCCGTGCTGTGGACCGCAGCAACCAACCCATCGATGAGTAGGGCAAAGGGCACGGGCGGGTATCCCTTTTCTGTGCTTTTTGTGAGCAGTTTCTCCAAGACAGCGAGCACCCCGCGGATGTCCCTGGTGTCCTTTCCTTTGCTGGTGCCGTCCGGTGGGAGATGACGCAACAGGTCGACTAATACTCTCACTGCGGCGGGGCCATTGTGCGATTTCAGCAATATGGATATGGTGTGCCATGCGGTCTTGGATAGGCTTGGTACCAGGCAGAATATTGAGCCCAGCACAAGTACACACTCCTTGAAGCTTTCGACAGGCAAGGTGCCGAACGTTACAATAGTATCAATAACGCTGATTGAAGCCCGTAGGTCGTCTTCGATAGTGGTGCTGAGACAGATGCCGACCAGTGCCTTCATCAAACCGGACATTGCAGCCTCATCGGCTACATTGGATCCAAACTTGATGACCTCGCTGATGAAAACGAATAGCTGATGCAGGTTCTTTTCCTCCCCAGCCACAGAGACCCTGGATTTGGTGTTTTTCTTCGCATCTCGACTAGCTTGTTTCCTTGCGGCTTTGACGGCCTTGTAGGCGTCGCAAAGCCAACTTCGTAGTAAAGGTATCACATCGTAATCAAAACCATTCAGCTGTCTCCCATGCTTGGTGAGGTCCACGACAGCAGCCAGTTGTAGGTGGAAATCGTCCGGATTCGCGGGTGCAGTGAGAGTTTGGAAGTACTCTTTGCGATCGAGGTCCGAGGCCTCCTTGTGTTTGACGCATTCTGAAAGAAGCTCCCAACCAGCGAGACGTTCCGCATCTGTCTTTGTCGCATCGATCATGTCCTTCGCAGCGTACCAGATATCCTGGACAGGGTTCATGGGGTATTCGGACACGGCATATCGAAGGGAGTTTGCGGCAGAAACGCGATCGGCGGCGGTGCCGTTCCCGCTCTTCAGCAACTCAAAGGACTCCATGTGGTTCGGCGACAGAGTCAGGGTAGTGCGGGTGGCATTCACGGTGTCGGCGATGGGAGAGAGGATCGACGAGGTAGATTTGAGGCTCGGCGGAGGAGATTTGGTCAACTTGGCACCCGTCAAGCCTTTGAAGACGCTCGCCAGGCCGCCGGGGCGACTCGAGTCTGGCGATGAAGGCGCATCTCCTGGCGAAGGGGACATGTGCTCGTCGGACTGGTCGGACTCGCTGGGGATGTTCTTGGAGGATACTATGCGACGGAGCATGTTAGCCGAGTTGTAGCACAGTGTGCTTCATATCGGCGTGGTAGTGGTCAAAGGTAGGTGAAAGAGCGAGGTGATGCTGTCATTCGAATCGCTAATAACGATGATGGCCTCATGGGGGTCCACAACTTTGGAGATGACGATGAAACTTAGTTTGCGGAGCAGGGTAGATGGATAGGTACGCAGGCTAGAACGTGTGGGCTGGAGAAGGGAAAAGGAAGCAAGAAGTAGGTATCTGCAGACGATACTTACGGCAAACTTGCTATCGGCTCAGCTGGGAAGGTCTGGAAAACCCCATCCACGGCGGCGAGGCGAGCTGCAGGCCAGATAGCCCCGAAGTGGGAGTCGGAGTGGGAGAGCAAAGGCCCCCGGCGCAACTGGAACCACCACCTCAGTCAGGCCAGGGGGGGACTGAACGACCGTCGATGGGACGTGAGTTGAGAGGCGAGAGAGTCGGTGGTGTGGTGGTTTCGGTCCGGCGATTGTCTGTGGTTTGCGGTGCCAAGGACTCGGGAGGTGCTAATGCGCTCTCATAGCATAGTCTTGCGCATCGGACTGTTGAAGTTCTTTGGTGGTGCAACTAAGAGATATGGAAGCAGCAGAAAAATGCGTCGAGGAAAATTGGACGCTGATCCCCTCTGTCGGTGCAGGGCCGGGCTGCTGCTGCTGTACCGTCACTGGTCAGGAGCGGTAGGGGTGGAGGTGGTGCAGGTTTTTTAGGGGGCAGGAAAGGCGACAAGTACCTGCAGCAAGAACCAACAGTTCGTGAGCTCCCTGATGCAGTGCGCGCGCAGGGCATCTCTTTTCCCGTTGCAGTTGCAGGTTTCCTACCAAGTACCTTACCAGCCTTACCTAAGCCAAAGAGTCCTAGAGTGGTCAAATGCCCCCACTCGACATGGCCAGCTGATCCAGTCCCAGGTCCTGGCGGGCGCAGAGATTCATGCTCATCCAATGACACTCGTGGAATGGATGCTTCCTTCTTAATGGCCCTGGTCACAGTGTCTTCGCACCAACATTATTCCGTCATCTGCCTTGTGAAGTGGCCGTGGCGTCATTCTCCGTGGCGGACATCCACCCTTCCGAGAACGCCCCGCTGTCGGCGCCGGCCCGGATCAAAACGTCACGGGGGACTGATGGCCGGTGCTTAGCCAGAGATCAATAGCTCTAGTAGACACATTCATACGATAGTCATGGAAACATGAGATGACTGCACCAATTGGTTTGATATGCCTTATCTCTGTCTCACAGGATGGCAGAAGTAATTTCTGCAGGAGCATCCGTAATCTGATCTCCCTGTTGCCCTAATTCCAAGACAGACCACGCTCAACAAGGCCGCTCCCAGCTACGGTACCAACCAACCTTCGTGGACGACGTCAGAAGACCCTCCCTCATTCCAGGGAAGTTTCTTCAGCAATTCCTCTCTTTGTCTCTCTTGCAGCAAACCCTGAAATGGGCTCCTATTCCTGTCTTGCACGAAGCACGGGCCAGCCCCGCCCCGTCGCTGGCTGTGGTTTTTCCGACAACACAACCTGGCGCCTTCCCCCCGGCCCAAGCGCCTAGCTGTTCTGGCACGTCTGGTTGCCTACCAGCAGGCTCCAGCCAATGACAGTTGCCCCACAGTACCTTCCATCTGTTTTCCAAATGGCAGCCGTTAGCAGCCTCGCCCCCCACAGCAACACATCCCATCCCCAAAAAGTTCAGAACAGGCAGAGTCCACGACAGTCCGAACTCCCAACACATCGTCATCCACACACCTTTTCGACGTTGCGAACTCTGTCAAGATGGCCTCCCAAATGGGCAGCATCGCCCAGCTGCTGGACGCTACTTTAGACCCCAGCACTCACAAGAAAGGTACCTAAATATCCCCGTTGCTTTCTACCCCGCCAACTTTGTTTGCTTTCCATGCTAATAAACAAACGGAACAACAGCCGAGAACGCCCTCAAGGCTGAGCAAAGCAAGCCCCAATACTCGCTACAACTGCTCAACATCGTTGCTTCCGACCCTCTGCCCCTCAAGACTCGTCTGGCTGCTGCTTTGGCTTTCAAGAACTTCATCCGCTCCAACTACGTTGACGCCGACGGAAACTACAAGCTCCCCGCCGATGAGGTGCAAACCATCAAGTCTCAGCTTATTGGGCTGATGATTGCCTGCCCTCCCGCTATTCAAACACAGCTTGGCGATGCCATCAGCATCATCGCCGACTCCGACTTCTGGGAGCGGTGGCAATCTCTGACGCAGGAGCTCGTCGAGAAGTTTTCCCCCGTCGATCCCAAGATCAACATCGGTGTCCTCGAAGTCGCCCACTCTATCTTTGTCCGCTGGCGACCCCTCTTCAGAACCGACGAGCTGTACACGGAAATCAACCATGTCATTAGCACCTTTGCCCAGCCTTTCGTGCGGCTCCTGGTTCAAACCGACGAGCAGATCACCAAGAACGCCCAGAACAAGGATGTTCTTAAGAACTGGTTCGATGCTCTGAGTCTCATGATCAAGATCTTCTACGATCTCTCGTCACACGACATGCCTCCCATCTTCGAAGAACATCTGGCGTCCATCTCCGAGCTCCTGCACAAGTACCTCACTTACTCGAACCCAATCCTCGAAACCGATGACGATACCGAGGTTAGTGTCGTCGATACCGTCAAGGCGGACATTTGCGAGGCTCTGGAGCTCTACACCCTCAAGTACGATGAGGACTTCAGCAAGTACACCGAGCCTTTCATCACAAACGCTTGGAACCTGCTTTCAAATGTCGGAGCCGAGACCAAGTACGACTTGCTAGTCAGCAAGGCCCTGCACTTCTTGACCGCTGTTGCAGGCACATCCCAGCATTCTGGTGTCTTTGCCAACGAGGAAGTTCTGGGCCAAGTGGTCGAGAAGGTCATTCTGCCCAACGTCGCCCTGCGCGAATCTGATCTGGAGCTTTTCGAGGATGAGCCCATCGAGTTTATCCGTCGCGATCTGGAGGGCTCCGACACCGATTCCAGACGCCGCTCTGCCACTGATTTCCTCCGGAGGCTTCAAGAGAAGTACGAGCAACTGGTCACTGGTGTTGTCTACAAGTACATCAACCATTACTTGGAGCAGGGCAAGACCGACTGGAAGGCAAAGGACACTGCTGTCTACCTGTTCATCTCGGTCGCCGCCAAGGGTTCCGTCACCTCTGCTCAGGGTGTCAAGACCGTCAACTCTCTGGTCAACGTTGTTGACTTCTTCGAGCAGCACATTGCGTCTGACCTGATGGCGAGCGCAGGCGTTGAGCCTATTTCCAAGGTCGATGCCATCAAGTATCTGCATACCTTCCGTAGCCAGTTGACGAAGGAGCAATGGAAGCTGGCGTTTCCTCCTCTCATCCAGAACCTGGCCTCGGACAACTACGTTGTCTACTCTTACGCTGCAATTGCAGTGGAGCGCCTTCTCTTCTTGTCTGATGATTCTGGCAAGGCTATGTTTCCTCGCGAGGATATTCAGCCTTTCGCGAAGGACCTGCTGGACCACCTGTTCAAGTTGATTGAGAAGGAGAGAACCCCTGCGAAGTTGCAGGAGAATGAGTTCTTGATGAGATGCGTCATGAGAATCCTCATCGTCATCAAGGACGGTGCGGCACCTCTCGTCGAGGGCATCCTCACGCACTTGATTGCTATTACCAACATGATCAAACAGAACCCTAGCAACCCGCGCTTTTACTACTACCACTTTGAGGCACTGGGCGCGCTTGTCAGATACTGCTCTTCGACGAGCGCAGCACTCTTCAACCAGAAGTTGTGGGAGCCCTTCAACCAGATTCTGGTGGAAGATGTCTCAGGTAAGATATTCCCTTTGATGCTTCTTAACGCCTTGCTAATTCTCTCGCAGAATTCCTGCAGTACATTTTCCAGATCCTGGCGCTGCTCCTGGAGTCAAGCCCTCGTGATGCTATTTCGGACAACTACAAGGCTTTCCTGGGCCCGTTGCTCGAGGCAGGCTTGTGGGACACCAAGGGTAACGTGCCTGCTTGCACACGACTTTTGTCAGCCGTCATTCCCGCTACTGCCAGTTACATCGTCTCGGAGAACAAGCTCGAGGCGATCCTTGGTATTTTCCAGCGCCTCCTAAATTTCAAGAAGTACCAGTTGTACGCCTTTGACATTCTGGAGGCTGTTGTGAAGTCATTCGAGCCGTAAGCGTTGCACCCTTCAAATCCATCATGAATCATGCTAACTCCAAAATGCAGCGGCGTCCTTGACCAATACTTTGGCACGATTTTGAATCTCACATTTGCCAAGTTGCAGGGCAACCCACCCGATTCGCTGAAGCTGCGTTTCGCTCGGTTCTTCCACCTCGTCTCGGCCCGCCTTGAGGCCGGGTACGGCGCCGACTACTTCATGCAGCACTCGGAGAAGATCCAAGAGGGCATCTTTACCAAGGTTTACCCGGCTTTCGTTCTCGGTGAGACGGAAAAGCTGGCGCGTCCTGTCGACCGCAAACTTGCTGTGATCTCTCTCACCAAGGTTCTTTGCGACTCTCAGGCCTTTGCGCAAAAGTTCGCCAAGGGTTGGGCAAACACCTGCAAGATTCTTCTCGCACTGCTTGTGAACCCACCCGTGATGACTGCGGGTCTTGGCGACGAGATCATTGCTGAGGCTGACGTTGATGACATTGGCTTCGGACTGTCGTACACCGCACTCAACACTTGCAAGCCGATTGTGCGTGACGATTATCCCGAGGTCACTGCCGTGGCCCCGTGGGTCAGCGCGTACATCAGCTCTGCCAACCAGCGCCACAACGGAGCCATTGTGAACTTCATTAGTACGCGTCTTACGCCGGAGCAGCAGCAGGCACTGCAGCAGTATCTGCAATAGGTGGCGTTACCCAGCGGTGGAATGGGCCTACCGGACAACGTTGTCTTCTCGATGGGCAGTTGGCATCCAATTCAGTAGGCTTGAGCGAACTTGACGAATACAATGTAGGGCGGGACAAAAGGCGCAGGATAGCGTCGTCGAACAGGAAAAAAGGGAGTTGAGTGGACAGGGAAGCTCGCTTAGGAAAGACGTAATGAGGCGTATGCGGCGGAGGAACATCAGAAGCTCGATCAGATAGATCGTCAGATGCAGGCCTAGAGACGACAGACAGTCGCACAAAGCCAGATGCCCGAAAGCATGATCATCACAAAATAGTCTCATAGAGGCATGCACAGCTGACAAGTGTCATATGCTCGCAAGCTGTGAGAAGACAAAAGCAACATTTCATTTTGAGTCAACATAAGCAGCATCCCGATCTTCGATGCCCATGTCCATCATGCGATTGCATCTCTCACCGCTCATACATACGGCCGGTCCATCATTACCCCAGAAACCCACACAGGCCAGCCAGCCACCCGAGGTCCCAGACAACGACACGAGATCCATGAATCCGTCATGCGCTGAACATGATCTATCCGCATCCCCCGGCCAGTCACGTAAACGCTCGCATCGTGGCATGAAGGGTGACATTCGGCCCCGGCCGCGGCCGTACCCGCTCGGGGCACCTATAGGCCGGGGCCGGGGGTGTTAATTCGCATGTACGGATACGGTGGTGGTCCGTACGTCGGTCGGGTCTTCCAGAAAAGCTCTCCCAACAAGTCTCTTTCTGCCTGGCGGGAGTCCCGTCCTTTCCTACACCGCTTCCGATCCATAAATCCATTAGATCCCGGGATACCCATCGTCCCGGGTGTCCCTTGCTTGCGAACGGGGAACCCGTCGTTCTAGAAGTTTTCTCCCGTGGCCTTGCGTTTATGAGTGTGTAAGGGGGGGCGCGGACCAGAAATGAATTGTGTCAAAGTTCAAATTGATTATGTTCGTTCCGTTTCACCCGTTTTCCCTGACTAAGGTAGAGAGATAAGGTAGTTTCAAACATTTGGTTGCATAAAAATGCTTTGGGGCTCAATTACGGCCCTCCGAGGCCGGGTAAGGGAGTGCGAGCAAGTCTGCGGAAGAGGAGGCGTGTGCTTCTCTGCCATCACACGAGTCGAAAAGCAGGCTGGCTGGCTGGCCGAGGGAAGAGTTTTCTTCCCGCCGATATTAGACCGCGTGGCGAACGATGAACGACAACGGTGTAGGGGAGGGTACTCCGTACTTCCGTACAAAGATTTTTTTTAGGTTCCGCGTGATTGGATGAAGAATGGGGGGACGTGGATTCTCTCTCGCTCACCCTGGGAAGGTAGTTGACGATTCGACAAGAACGTCTGGGCCCTCCTCCATCGTGAAGAAAACATGGGATGAACACCTACGTATCCGTACCCGCTGCTCATCACGCCCCTCCACCTCTCCCCTCGTCACCGGTATCTGTACTGGAATGACGAACTCCTGGGGTCTTTCTCGAACAAACAAAACGGACAAGGTCCGATGCACTCCCTCCCCCGGGTGATGCACAGGGCCACTGGGCCAGTGGGAACAGGAGCGGTCAAAGAGGGAAGTTGAGGTTGTCGATCTGCGGGAATCGGGACGGGAATTGGGGCTGCCGGTGATCTCAGGGCGCAGAGTGGGCGGCAGGCGAACAGTTTACCGAGAAAGAACTTGGAAGGGTCGAGAGGCGCGGAGGATGCCGTTGACCGCTCTGCAATGCCGGGGAACGCTGGTTGATGACAATTTCAGGGAATTGAGTCGAGTGAAAGGGTGCATGAAATGAAGGGCACTTTGCTCCCGGTTGCCAAGGGAGATAATGACATGAATTGCGGGCGAGATCATTGTGTTCTTTTGGTAAGAGCCATATTTCATTAGCTTTTCGTTCAAGTGTGTCGTCGTTCACTTTGTACTACAACGTATCTATATGTTCATCTGAACGCGTAAATTACTTCAAGAAATATAAATCAGGCCTTCGTGATATGACGTCTCACAGACTTTTCGCATCATGACGATGCTGCCTCCTCCGCAAATGCCTCCACTACCAGAAACCATGTACAAAGGCTGATTGCTCTCGCAATACAATGAATAAGAACGGATATCAAAAAACGCCAGGTCCTAGACTATGGAACCCAGATCATAAGTCGTTATGAGATGCAAATAAATGGTATCGTCTGATCGAAAATCGTACAACATGTACATCAACTATGTTGCGGCGTGAATGAGTCGGGTATAGAATCGATAGTTGGTGAGGGTGGCTTAGAAGAAGTCTGGCTCGAGTCCGATATCGCAATAATTGAACGGGAATCGGAAGGAAATAGTAAAAAAAAGATGACTTGTGTCGATGGTTGGATTTACAGGGCAGCCGATCAGATCAAGCCACCCTCGGTAAACCCGACGCTGTTGCGCCATCCGCAGCGTCGTTCATGCTCCTCCCTCTCGATATCACGGGGCCGCGGCGGAACGCCTCTAGCGTTCAAAGTACCTTTGGGTGCCTGTGATGGACTTGGGTCGAATTCGCTGCTTCCGCAGCTGCTCCCGCCGCTCGTGTTGGTCTGGACGAGAAGTAAGCTGCTGGTGCTGGAGAGACGCTTGGTGAACTCGGTGAAGCTGAGTCGTTTGGCGCTGGAGCCGGACGTCCGCTTCTCCCCGTTGGCTCGGAAGATAGCTTCTTCGGATATCTTACCGGATGATGAGGTTGGAACGTCAAGCCTTTCTGGGCCCGTGGGCTGAGGTTGGCTGTATGTTCTGTGCGTCGTCATCGGCCGCATTCTGGAGTGCGCCGTATGCGGGCGCGCAGGCGCCTGCAACGGAACGCTGAAGTTGGCTGGCGAGCTCCTCATCACTGGTGAGCGAGGTGACGTGATGTCGTCGGGCTGGGTAGATAGGAATGCAAGGGCGTGCGCCGCATTCGGGGGGATCAAGGTGTGTCGGTTGCCATTTACGTCTCCCTCGTGCGCATACTCGTCCTGAGATCCCTCGAGGTCATCTGAGTCTGAATCTTCCTCTTCTTCAGACGAATTCTCGTCCATATCGAAAGCGCTCTGCATGGCAGCCTTTTCCGCCTCAGCCTTCTTCACCTGCTCCCGTCTCTTTGAGTCCGCCTCCCTCATGAGAGCATCGAACCGAGCCAGAGACGTGAGCTTCTCCTCACCGGGGATTTCTTGTTCAGATCCAGGGATGCATCTCAACTGGAATGCCCTGTCAAGGATAGTCTCCCGTGGTGCAGGCGGCGAACTAGAGTCAGCTCCAGGAAAGGGCTGTGGCCCGCCAGAGCTCACGCTGCCACGTCCGCGGATGGGAGAGCTAACGGTGGACGACCTTCCCTGGGCAGCTGTCCAACCCTCGATGAAGTCGCTCTGTTGGTAGTCGCTCATTGTGGTGATAGGAGATGGTATATCGGAGGGGAGTACAGTAGTGTACTTGTTAGGATCGGGCAGCGCAAACCCCATGTGAGCCGGGTGATGGGTGCTGGTTGGAGATGAAACGTCGCTGGCCTTTGAGCGAAGACTCGGTGAATCAGAGCTGAAGGTAACGGGGCGGTCTCGGCTCGAGTAAGTCTGAGTCGAGGGCTTGTGTTGCAGAGTTGTACGAGGGTTGGGGTTTCCGCTTGGTGGGCGAGGGAAGTAATCGGAAGCATCTCTGGACCGCTGCTGGGGCGAAAATGGGTTCGTGAAAGAAGGGGATGCCGGGCTCTCCTCGGGGCTCATGGGCAGCTTTCTCGAGATGATGAAGCGGGCCCATTCGTGAAGGCTGATGTGGTGGTCATCGGGAGGTGTCCGGAACCATAACGTGGTCGCTGAGGATTCTTTGCTGGACATCAGGCCGGCAGCCCGGCTGGAACGACGTTTCTTTTCCTTATCGTTGATGGTGATGACAAGGGTTGGCAAGACAGGACCCTGTTTGCGGTGGGCGAGCATTTGGACCTGGCAGTCGATGACGGAGCTGACGGGATACTGATAGGAAGGTTCCCAGTCGTCCTGCAAGTTCGGAAGGCTTAGGTTTTGGCCGGAGAACTCTGTCGTGTTGATTCTTACCTTTGACTTGAAGATGGTGATGTAGTAGTCGTCGATCGCGATCGGCCTCGGCGGGATCTTGGTAGGGGCGCCATTCATACGGCCGGTTGAGCCGCTTGGAGGGAACGTCGGGCTGGTTACGCCTTCTCTTGAAACATTGCGGCCCCCGACAACGACATATCGAGGCTGAGACGAGGGTGTTAGGCATGTTCAACTATGGGAAAAGAAAGCAAAGAGGATAGTGTGGGAGGGCATACCTTCCAGATGGCGCGACCCAGTATTTGGCCTCGGTCAGGAGGAGTTAGAAGAAACCCCTCGCAGGTATCCATGGTGGAGGAACCTGTCGAGGTGATGCGGGTGAGATGGTGAAGCGAGGTAGGAAGGGACACTGTCGTCCTGTAGAGAAAAAGAATTGGGTATCAAAATAAGTAGAGGATTAGAGAGGCATCCTGAGAGCAGGCTGTCGTGGTTGAATGGTTCAGAGGCGGACGAGCCTTGTGGGTGTTGAGTGTCTGACGAGAGGGTAGCGATGGCGCATGCAGTGAGGTACCTTGACAGGTGACAGAAGAAAGTGGTACTGCGTGTGTGACGGGGCCGAAGAAGTCGGCATGCAAAAGGGATTGTCGAAGTGTTTGGCTGTTTTTTTTTTTTTCTTCTTCGTCTTTTGTTTTTCGGATTCTGCACAAGGGACCAGTATCCGGATAGAACAGAGAAACGCTCCCAATATCTCCCCAGCGCCCCCGGCTTGCGCGTGGATGAACAACCTTCGCGTTGGAACAGAGAAACGGGTGACTTGGAGGAGGAAGAAACGAGATAGAAGATGGCGTAGGGCAGGTAGGTAAAGGATATGAAGGAGGGGGGCGGCGCCAACAATGGAGGGGTGGGTGGAAGGAATATGTGAGGGTTACTAAGGCAGGCAAGGCGCGGTGCGGTGCGGTGCGGTGCGGTGACTTGGTACCTTTTTGGTGAGGGAGGAAGAGGAGGTGAGGTGAGGACAGGTGAAGCAGAGGCAGGAAGGACGGTCAGTGTGTCTCTGTCAGTCAGGTAACCTAAGTAATAAGGTACCGCTAGGTAGGTAGTGGTGGTATTATTATCGTCGTCACGGACGGCGGCGCCCTTGGGAGGGATTTGGTACGGATACCTTGCCTTGCGGTGGCCCTTTTTGGTTTGGCGGGAGGGTAAGGTGAAAGCGGCTTGTCGGTGAGAGAGCGAGAGCTTGCGCCTGAGCCTGAGCCTGAGCCTGAGCCTAGAGGCAGACAGAGTCTAGCTACGAATAGTACTGCATGGAGAGGCAGGGCAGGGGAGGGGGAGTCTTGTTGTTTGAAATTGACGTTAATAACGGCGAATGAAGTGGGTAGAGATCTGGGGGCGCGGTATGATTACGCTTCCAGGCAAAGGGACTGAAGACGGGAGGAGACAGTCCACACGCAATCCGCAATGGCATGGACTCCATGGAGTCGCAGACGGTGGCAGGAGATAGACGTGAGCAGAAAAGAGGTACAATGCCGTCGTCCTTGGTCCAGGAGCGGCGGTAGTATGCAGTAGGCGAAATTACCTCGAGCCAGACATGCTGCACCCAATGGAAGTAACAAGTCAAGTCCACCTGCGATGAAGTACGCAGTAGGCAAGTCTACTGCTACGGATACTGCGTACCTACCTTACCTTAAGGTACTGACTCCTCGCATATGCACTGGACTCGTCTCCTTTCCCTATCGGAGTGCTCAGGTACCTAATTTAGGACTTTACAGAAAACAGAGTAGCACCTGGGGAATTACAGATATGGAGGTCCTTGCACCCATTTGCAAACACAATCAATGGCTGTTGCAGTCCAGGTCCGGTCCTGGTGCAGGAACAGGCGCAGGTGCAGGCCGCAGTTGAGACCCCTGGCCGACGCCCCCTCCGAGGTGCATTCGCCGCGCTCGACTCGGGATGCCATGAATGGCAGCAGGGGGTGGGGGCAGGGGGCAGGGGGCCGGGACGGGTCAGCAAGAAAGATGGAAGGGAAGGGGGGAAGGGGACGGGAAGAATTAAGAAAAGAAAAAAAAAAAAAGGAAAGGAAAAAACGTGCAAGGTGGGAAGGAACGAAGGGTACCTGCGCCAAAGCTGCTACCATAGTACTTGCGACGGCAAGTGCAGCCCGCAAGTACCGGGTTCCCCCTGCGGCTCCTGCTTCCAGTGCCAGTGCCTTTTTTTTTTTGTTTTTTTTTTCCCCTCTTGTCCTGCGTCTTGGGGCAGCCTCGACTGCCATTTCCTCTTGCCCAATGACGATGGATATCGGGGGTCTAGAATGGAGAAGGCCCAAGGAGACATCTCGACCCGTGTCCACTGCCACGGCTCAAACCTGTCTCTTCACTCTCGCTACCCTGCCACGGGCGGGCTTGTCAGTCTCCAGAAGCGAGGGCGAGGGCGACGAGGACGCGACTTCATCAGTGACAACCTGGCTGCCGCTCCATCGCAAACCCATAATTCCACCTCGGAGGAACCACAAGGGCCGCATCGCGACGCTTCCACTGGAGGGGCGGAAACACTCGAAAACTTCCATCGCTAAAAGAGAAACATGCCAGGTACGCTAGCCTGCCCTTGGTCCTGTCTGCCCCCATGCAACGCCCTGGGCCCCTACCTCACCTTCTTGCGCCGGAGTGACAAGGCCCCCAGGGTCCCTGCCCAGGTACGGAGCCCCCACCCCCTACCCTCTCTCTGCCCTCCATCACCAGACACCGACCGACGACGAACTATTACCTACCTAACGTACGGTACTCATCACTGACCAGTGGCCACTGACCAGCCAGCACCTTACCTTAGGTCCCGTCAAACTCTCCCATCTCTTCTGCAAACAGCGCCAACCGTCCATCAGACTGTCCGAAAACAGCACACAACCACCATCTTTCCACGATCCACCCGATGCAATGTCTCGCCGACCCGTCGCCGTCTTCTTTGAGCCTGCCAGTGTTCCTTTCATCCAACTCCGAGTCTTTTGTCTCCATTCCCAACGCCAAAGAAACGACGCCTTTTAAACGTATGCGCCATTCACCTCTCCTTGTTGTCTCGGCAGGCCAAGACGGATACCACTCGTCCCATATGGCATCGTCCCAACCATGCGTCTCATGGCCCAACTGACGTATGTCTCTGCCTTCTTGAATTCCATCTTCCATCCAGGCACCGTCCGTCGTACAGTTTCAGGCTGCTTTCCCACGCCATGCCATGCTATGCAAGACAAGACAAGTGCATCTCGGGAAGCGGGACGCTGCCCGCGTCCTGGTTCTACAACACTGTCCCAGGAACCGCATCTGGAAAAGGAGTCTTGACACCCGCGCTGCCTTTCACTCCCCTCTTCTTCGCCCTCGACACCATCCATCAATCGCCGCCGGGCTGGTACCGAGGCGCCTTTGCACCACCGCGGGAAGGCCTGATACATGTGGAGTCGTACTCACCTTCGCCTCTCTGCTCCACGTTGGACCTCACCTCGACGAGGGCCATGTCCGTCGGTGTCAGGTACAGACACAGATAGACCTGAGATACGAATACTCCCTGCTCTCTAAAGGACGGAATCAACTGCTTCGCCCAACAAATCATCCCAGCCCGCCCACCGCCATCCCAAGACCTCATCCCGTCTTTCAGGGCCTCCCGCGTTTCCAAAGAGCGGCACGGGCGACACTCCCACCATCCCGGGTAGCACGAGTCCAAATTCTGTTGTACGAAGTACCGTGTTTTCTTCCCTTCTTCTGTCCTAACCACAAAATGTTCCACTCTGGTTCGCGAATCGCATTGCATCAGCTAAGGGATGGCCAGCGCGGCTGCTGGCTTTTGCTACCTGATCTTACGTCCTCCTCTGCGCTAGTCCTTCGCCTACTGCGCAATACTGTGTTAGTCTGCCTCATCCGAGTCCACGAGCCTCTGTCCGTTACGCAACACCATATCACTCGTGGATCGTTGTCCTGCGGACTCATCTGCCGGGAAGAAAGGGGGAAAGACGCAAACAACTGGGGCTCTCGGAGCCTTTTGCCAGTTGACACGATGAAAACCACCCGTCGTCGGAGAGACTGACATGCCTTCATATCGCCTGATGGGAAACCCCATACGTGCTCCCCCCCACCGCTACTTGAGAGACATCACTATCGAACCATACTGGATCAGCTTGGCGTCGCCCCCTCGCTCGCACGCTCGCATTCCTTCTTCGTACCGCCGCAGAGAAAACGTCCTCCTAACCAACGTCGCGCTTCGCCTCGGCCGTGCCCAGTCAAGTTGAAATAGGTGCGGATAAGCCCTCCCTGCGGACCTTGCGGATCTCAGGGACCGAACCGTCCCTTCTCAATCCCCACCTGTCGTCCACACATTCCGCCGCTCCCCTCCAACATCAGTTCACCCCAGATGCAAACGCAGACGCAAACGCACTTCTCGCTGCAGGCAATGCGTGCAGCCTGCACTCTGCAGCGTACTGTATTTGGAGCTCCGGCCAAATTCCAACACCAGCTCCGGCCGGCACAATCACATATTCTCGGTTGACGCTGCAGTCGGGCGGGCGCCTCAAATATGCACCTCATGCAGACAATCGCATGGCATGGCATACATACCTAGCATGGCATTGCGTTGCATCGCATTGTCCATCGACGCTAACCTCTACCCAAGCTAAAGCCCATGTGGCCTCTCTGACTTTCAGCCTGCACCGCACCGCACCGCGCCCGACCGGACTGACCAACTAGTCACCGTCATAGACTAAGGTCCTACTTTGTCGACGCCTGGTTGAAATTCGTACGTGGCCAGTCCAAACCGTTCCTGACTCCGCCGATTCGCCGGCTCCTTCGCCATGGTTCTGCACCATTGCGGAGATCGCAATGCATGCGGCGCACCAAGACCTCCGAGGCCCCATCAATGTGCCTTGCCCTGAAATCCGCACCTCCTGAGCTAAACCAGTCCACGCCGCTCGTCCCTGGCGTCCCTGGCAAAAGCTGGCCTGTCGGGCAAAAAATATCTGGTCATGTGCGGAACTGAGCAAGGGCTCTCAGCACTCAAACCTCAGAGATGGTGTCGACTTGTTTACTCTGCTGCAGAACTTCCGGCAATCACTTGCGGACCAATTCCTGCTTTGGACAAGCCGTTGCAGCCGACGTCGCCTTCAAATTAGAAATGCCCGCGGAAGCCTAACCGAGTCGACTCCCAAAGGGAGCAACTTTGGTCTTTCTTCCAAGGCACTCCTCTCCTTCGGCAGTAAGCCCGATTCCGATTAAAGTGTCTCCGTGCGAGAGGAGCACCCCGAGAGCCATCAAGCTGGTTGCTCCGGCCGTTTGGTTGCCATGCTCTCGCGTCATCTCGGTTTCCGTATCTGCTGGCT